AACTCACCGTGCAATCTACACTTCAAGCAGACTGCGTGAATTCTGTTATATTTCCCAAGAGAAAATCAGGGGTTCTGTAAACTCCGTGCAGACACACTTTCCGAAACAATGGTCAGAAATATCCAGGAACAAGTTTTATCAACTAGGCCTATTTCCCTAATAATGACTGTCCGTTATAATAATCATTCCTATACGAATGCAATTAATTGGGCGACTTTCCCATAGACTTGTGCACAGACCTCAATGTGACCTAACCCAAGTTTACCATTTGCTGCTTCCACGAATTTTGGTACACTTATGTTTTGGTCGACCAAGGACCATTTGCGACCGTCCTTCTCCTATTTTATAACAAAAGGTCGACGCCAAATTGTCATCCCAATTAAGGCGTGTCACCCTCATACATGTATATAGCAATAATAATAGCAAGATCTGTCGCCCGTACACAGTATTCATTAGTTTAGGCTTATGCAGTATAATCTTCAATAACAAAATCCCCATCATTCGGACGAAAACCTAGCCTGAAATTGTCTTTATTCATTCCTCAATCCCCAGTGTTCAATATTCCGTCCAGTTCCATCGATAGCTTATGATGTCACAAAGGATTCGTCCCGAGACGATATATCACCTATATAATGTCGCAGCATTTAAAAACAAAATTGTCACGGAATGCCAACTTCCCAGCTAGCACCCCGTTGCCATCAACCTGTCGAGCTCGTATATATGCACACGTGCGAGTTATGAATAAAAGATACCTGACCTTTCGCTCAAAACTCGTGGGATTCTATATCTCTTGGAATAAGTCCGTTATGGGCCGATTCTTATTGGCTTAACGAACTCACGCGGTCGTCTGATGGAAAACACTCCGCGCCGCGTCATCGGCGAAGCGCTAAGTCCTTCTGAATAAGACATGGGAAACTTGGATTTGTGGTAGACACGCTGGATCGGATCTAGCGGATCTGGGGGTGGGGTTGGGGAGCACCCTCCCCCGAAGATCCGCTACTGATACGTTCGGATGAAGTTCGAGTGCGACCTTTGATTCAGCCACTAGTCGACTCAACATACGAACGCGCATGCGCACTTAAATAACTCCGGGAAATTAACTCATGTGTAGAACAGCTTCTTCGTAGCACCGCAAGTCATATAAGATGGTTTTCGAACCATTCGTCTCGCCTGCTTTCGCGATTATTAAAATTTATAAAGAGTGACTAATCAGTTGAAGGTTGGCATGTTGCATCTATGACCAAAGTTTGGTTCCAATTGGACTTCAACTCTTCAAATGAGACCAATTTAACATTTTGTTCAGGCTATTTTACAACTTGACCTCAGATGACCTTTGACCTTGGTATGTGACCTTTGACATCATGATCAGATGAAGGTTGCCATGTTGCATGTATGACCTAAGTTTGGTTCCAATTGGACTTCAACTTTTCAAATGAGACCAATTTTACGAAATTGCATAGTCTCTTTCCTGAACAAAGTTCAGGCGAGACAAACATGAGGCCAAGGAAAAGGTGTTTCTTTGCCCAATCATGCGGTTTTGCCGAATTTATCATAATTTCAATTAGCAAATTTTATTGGCTACACGGCTACAGCCTATGGCTCTGCAACAATCAGAAACGACAAGGGTTAAATAATTATTTTGCATGGTCCTTTTCGACACATGTTGACCATGCGCCTAAAATGGCAAACAAACAACCCAAAATCCCCCTCGTTTCGCGAATCAGCCATTTATCAAACTGTCCTCTCTAGAAAAACAGCAAGCCATCAATTTCCAACGGATTTCCTGTTCAATTCCTTTTTTATTTACGAGAAGGGAAAATCCATCAGTTGAAGATACGCGCACACATGGCAAGATCTGCTGCAATTACTCGCAGGAGATGGATCGGGTGTCGTCTTACGTTCTGCCGAGGGGCGTATAAGATGGCCGGGCTGAACAGCCCGTAAGGTGGATAGTGATAGCAGGTACTCGGCATTCCATTGCATGCATTAAGCAAATTACGCGTTCACGTGTGAGCACCAGCGACGCGCGTCGCAATCCAAGATGGCAGCCGAGAGATATCCAACTTTACTTCCCGATACACGTTGTGTAACCAAAGGCGTGTTGCCGATAACGCAGCCCGCGTCTTTTCTAGCCGTTACAACGTAAACCAACTCCAAAACATCGACGTGTATTCTAAATGGATCATCGGAGAGGACAACATGGCTCCGATTTCGGCCATAGCGATCGTTTGGAGATCCTGTCGGCTATCCACAGAGGAGTTAATCGATAGTGCTACAGACTTATTAAATTGTCGGCATCTAAATTCTTCTCCTTTTTTTTTAGTTATTCAAAGGAAAGGTACATGAACTTTACACAGAATGCGTTAACAATTAAACACGCAAAACTTTTGAAATTTAGGCAACTCGCCGAGTGATACACGCACTTCGTATACATACGGTCCAAAAGTTGTCTCGAGAAGCCCTTTAAAGGTAGAGTAGGCCTAGTCATTTGTGCATTGTTTTCGTTTGAAGCAACAAAAGGTCTCAAAATCTAAAGAAGGGTGCTTAACAACTAACCTGATGCCGTTTTAGCTCAGCGAATGCTGTATTATTTCGAGAAAACAACATTCTAGGATCGCGATTTCGATTCAAAAGTTGCTTTATCATGTTTTAAATTGCGCCCGAAATCAGCGTCCGGGACACGTTCTCATTCAGCCGATTGCAGCAACGCGATGTCGCGCACTGAACTGACGAATAATCAAGCAACCGCGTCGTGTCAACGCTTGCGTGCCTTCTCTTATTGTTTTCTTCAAAATGACAGCATGCCAGAAAGAACAATTTCACAGGGAGTTCAGTACCATTATCATCTTTAAACCAACCATGCTTTTCAACAATAATTTCTTAAGTTACTTTTTTGGATAGCTAGAAATGATGTACTCTACCTTTAAAAGTTACTTACAATTCACGGCCACCGAGTGCTTATTGCGACGCGCGTTTACGACAGTGCGATGGACTTTCTATCGCCGGGCATGTATTATGCGCATCACTCTATGTGAAAGTACGGGGCAGGAGCTGAGTGTGCGCGTCTATACGGGACCCGGCGAGGAGTCAAGACGCTCTCGCGATTTCTCTGAGCCGCTACTTTTATTCCATGAAGAGTGATTGCCTCAGGGAACTGTTGAGGACAAAAAGCCTGATACTACCTCAACCTGCATCCGCATTACGACGGCATTCGGTGTGGGGCAAGGGGCATCTTTCAACGGCGACCAATGTTTCGGGTCTAAAAGGCTTTAGTTCCTTGACGTGCCATTCGTCTTGCCAATCCTCCCGAGTCGCTCTTCATCCCTAGTCTAGACGTCTGAGCATTAATCCCAACATTTTTTAGCAACACAATACAAGAAAAATAAAGGCACGACATGTATCTAGGGACCAGTCTGTCAGTATTGAGGGGAGATGGACAAAAGAGCTCATGAAGATGTCACCAATACTGAAAAACAGAAAATAAACTGCAAGGAATATTACGCTTTTGTGCGTGGAATCAAAACGAGGTTGGGCACGCAAAACAAAGAATCATCCACGCTGCTGATACATAAGAACCAATTCAAGTAGCCGTAGCCTGCGGTGAAGCCTGCATTTCAACAATGAGAAAAGGTCCCACGGCTCAACTGACTGTTGTCCCGAATGTCTAAACGACAAAAACAGTTCAGTCTTATATCAGAGTTTCACTGACGGTATAAAAAAAAATGCCCGTGGAGACGAAATGATACACAATTCCAATCACGATGATTGCAAACCGCGGGTTATTATTTGAAACTCAGCCAGAAGATGAGGCAATGTTGGGAAACCAATCCTCCCTTGAATTACACATTCGGGATTACTGGTCGGATGCACAAAAGTCTCGAGTTTAATATACGATAGCCCAAAAAGGAAGGCCGCATTTTTCTGATTCAGTCGTACTGGCAATATTCGTACGTTTTACCATATTGCAGGAAGGCAAAAACGGGTTAAAGGGATGCATGCGACGATTTTTTTTCTTACGAACACATTTCATACAACTTTCTACTCTTCTTTTAATATATGAACACTGTTGACATCCTTTTTTGGTAAATTTTATTGAAAAGTGCACTTCTTTAAACATTTTAAAATGTCCAGACAACTGAGGGCGCTGTTGCCGTGATGTCATTCCAGGAGGACACTGTTTACGGGTTTTCTGTTCACATTGTGAACCCGAAATTTCGTTATTGAAAACATTAATTTGTGAGAAAAGACTGACTTACTGCCATGTACTTACACAATGACGAATCACCAAAGGAAAGGACAATTTATGATAGCAAAAAAGCCAAAAGTCTAACAACTTTTTGTGCTGAAATCTGCCCGGAATGACATCACAGTTTAAGAATATGGAAATTCGCATTAGCATAAAAACCAATGAAAATATAGGTCAAACCGGACACAAAGGTGCATTGTCAAGGACTGCATTAAAAGAATTACATTGCATGGGCCCTTTAAAGGGTAATTCCAACGAGACGAAAACGATGTTTCTGCCTGATGTATACGGTTCATTAAGTCGTGTGTTATTAAAATTCACAGGCGACTTCATTCAACATCGGGGTTACATTAATTTACAATATCTAACCCAATGTTTATCCGCAGATTGTCAAAATTTGTCATTTTCATGACGACTGTGTCGCCGCGGCTTCTTACAAAATGAATATTAATTTTCTTTACAATGGTGACGATTACTGTGTCGTTTTGCCGGACATTCGCCACAAAAAATGTCAAACAATTCATTCTGATATTGTCAGATTAAACAAATTGAATTAGAAATTTAAAATGGGTGTCTTTAATAAACAATGATTAATCCTTTTAATTAATCAGAATCAAGATACTGCCATTGTAAAGCTGGATAGCCCGGATAGAGCACCGGTATACGGGCGAACAGAGGACGCAGGTTCGAACCCTGCTCGCGTCCATTTAACTGTTCCACCTGTTATTAATTGAGATTCTCGTTTGGGACTTACCCATGTTCCAAGACGAGTCCTGCACAATCTCATCTTAAGGATCAGAGCTCATGGGCGTTCCGTCTTAGTGTTACGAGTTCCTCATCGTTGTGCAGATCACGGGTAACATTGTCCTGATCCTTTCAGTTGTTAGCCCCGTGTTCCCGTTTCAACAAGCCCGGTGCTCGACTCGACTCCCCCGGTGCTTCGACTCACCACACGGGGTGAGCGAGAGGACTTCAGCCCCCGGCAGACGTCCCTGCCCGTAGACCGTTGTCTCCTGCTCCCCCGTTAAATTCCCTCGATCACCTAAACCCCTGCCTCCTCCCTCCGTCTCACTCGCTCCGTCCGACGTGGATGCGTCCTGACAAGCCGGCCCGGACTCTGATTAAACGGATCACTTACCCATCTACACCTGCCGCATCACCTGCCTGTAATGAAGAGGGCGATGCGAGTGGGAGTCAATTTCTCATTATTGCTTTTTTTCTCCCTTTCCGTCAATAAACTGGGTTCTCACTGTAACACACACTGACAGCTCTTGCTTCGCACGTCATGCGGTTTTTTTTACTCTAAAAAAAGGCAACTGATTAGGCAAGATGTATAAATAAGCACGGTCATTACAAGTGTGTTTATGTTTTCCCCCGTCATTTCCTTCGTATGACCTTCCCGGCGAGAATTCAGGAATTCCAATTTCCTATATCACGCATTCAGCATTGTGTTGCAATTTTAACTTCTAAATTATGCATCTTTAAACATGCTGTCTGTTATCACCATTAATTATTCAGCTTGCTTTCAGCACATGCTTCTATAATGACGAACATAATATTTTTACAGCATTTTTTTTTTACCCTATGTGACGCGGCAACGGGCGGTGCCACTTATGATGGCGCAATGATGTAGCACGTCATCAGTCAATTTCTGCAGCGTGGCTGGCCTTGATTCAAGATGTCGAATGATTCTACTCGACGCACGCAAAGTCGGGCAACCCTAAAGGCTGCGTTCGTCGTAGTGTGAAACAAACAACAATCCAAACCATTTCGACCTTTACATTTGAGTATAAATAAACTGTAATAAAATAGCTGCTGCTTTCTGATGATTTGAAGAGATATTTTAGACACGTGATCATGTTTTGTCCTTAATCTTCACAGGAAGATGAAGATCGCGGGGCAGCATCAGGAAACTCTCAATATAGGGGCAGATAGGGAGCATGTTTTGGTCAATTAGTGCCTTTTTATGATACTAAACGTGACATTTGGCACACAGTCAGAGTATGTCATGAGACAGAAATTTGTCAATAGGGCCATCGCAGATTTATCCTTTGAAAAAAATATAGGTAAAATAAAAAGCAAAATCGTGAGGAAATCGATCGTACGTTTATTGCGCAGCTAAGCACTAAATGTTGCGTTTATAGCGCATGACGCAAGCTATACGCACCGTTCCGTGAAATCGGCCGCTGAAGCCTACTCGATTCCTAGTAGCGAAATAAATAATGAAATTTATCCGAAATATTTGATTATTTACAGTCGTTTCTACGGTGAAAGACGTTCAAGAGATGTGAGCATAGTGGCTATGCTTTAACTGTAGGGTTTTGGGATATGCCGCGTAGTACTCGTATTCTTCGGCCTCCAACTATAAAAGCGACCGGTGTTTGATCTCGGTCTCGTAAAACCCGACGAAAATGGCTTTCTGGGGAAATGCAGGATGTAAAACTGTCTAAGTTCATCCCCAGAGAGCATGCATTGGGATCATGGGTACGGTTGAAGAAGAAAAAAAAAACCCGAGAAATGTTTAAAAAGAAGAAACAGTTCAGGGTCTTTGGGTATTGATGCTAGAGCACGTGTGCGACCGCCAATTTCCGTCCATTTCCGATGCCGGTATCGACCGGGCGTGAGCTGAAAATGACAGCATCAATTTAGTGACAATTCAACGAGGGCACGCGCACGCTCCAGATCTTTAAGGGTTTTTCGCTGGGCCTAAACTCTATAAAAAGATAGGACAAATTCCTTGATACTGTTGGGTGAGATTTTGACTCATGGAAAACGGAACCCGGCGGTGATGCGCGTGTCTAAATAATGCCAACAAATGTTGTGGGCGAAGGTGGGGCTCCAATATATGAGGGCTAATTAGTAAGTCTAAAAAAATATACTACAACAAGTCAACATTCCTTGTCACATTGGCATTTGATGAAAAAGGTTAAAATATAAATGTGCCGGCATGGTTACAGATACGCTGAATGCTTAGAAATGCTTGGAATATTTGCTGTAATATATATTTTTGCTATAGCCTATTACAGTCGCCATATTTTCGTTGCCTAAAGAAATTGTACCAAAACTACAGGCAACGCGCTCTTCTATTGGCTAACGAGCTACTGAAAAAAAACATGACCGCGTAGATCAAGAATCATGAATATTCAGTGCGTAGGGAAACGTCACAAGGTATAAGCAGGCAATCTGATTGGCTGACGACGAGCGTCAACAAAAGTCGGTTTCGTTTTACGACGCGAGAGTATTAAAGCATAACTTGGCTAACGAGGATTAATCAATCGTGGCCTTCTGGTGTTGAAGAGGTTAACGGCAACATAATTTAATTTCAACTGAGGATAACAGATATCGCCAATGTCGGGGACAAAATGAAAGAATATCTGTGTGTTTGTTTGCCACTGAAGCATTTTACCAAAGTGTCACATTTTGTGGGCGGTTTAGCACCTGGATTCCCCGGCATTAACAGTTGGATCTATTTTTCTGTTCCATTTTCATCTTGAAAAAAAAGAGAGCACATGTGCTCGATAATTCAAACCAATGCATGCAGGTAAATCCAATATTGAAAGATGGAACTTTACCTGAAACAATTCACACTGCTCTGCAGAGAGAATTGAGCTTGGAAACACGGAGGCATATTGCCAATTACACGGTAGTGCCAATACATACGCACAGGCACGCTAGACTCCTGCCGCAGGCGTTAATGTGTGTATTACCGTTAGAATCTATGTGGACACCTTGCGGAAAAAGGACCGTATATTAAATCTTTTTGGACTCTCGCAACCTCCATCACTTGCGCTAAAGGTGCCCATGTAGCCCACATACGTAATATTCACTCCCGTGAATTTCCACATCAAGAAATAATGTTAAAAAACAAAAGGCTGTACGTACGGTGGCCCTAAATCAAGCTGAACGGACATCACATTGTAAAAAAATAAAAGGCATAAAATACCGACATCTGTCTGTATGAATAAGCGTATAAATATAAACAGTTACGATTATTATCATGTAATTTCTGTCATTCAAATCAAAATGTGATCATTAAATGAACCTAAAGTGCCTTTATGTAACGAATATAGGGAAGAATAACTCGTTTTTTTAATTTCGGTCTTGAAAGCATGATCTCTCTGTGTTAAAAAAGAACAACACAATAACAAGTTACAATCCCACAATGCAGTGCGCGCAAAACGTGTTATACAGCGTGAGTCGATTATTTCGCGTGCCTTATACATTAAGCTTCAAACCGAGGACATTCTGAGGTTGCACAGTTCAACGTCCTAGGACACAAGCGTCCGAGACCAAACATGGTGATGGAAGTTATTGACCACAGACTGGGGACCAAACCTCGCCGTTGCCTCAGGTTGAACTGTTCCTTCAATAAAATAACAAAATGTCGAAACCAAATAATTCACAGCCAACTACTGGGAGTAAGTTTATAGCTCAACAATTCCCTCAATCGTTTTTACACTCAAAGAAAACTGAACGAGGGTATCTCGATCTTTTCATCTAGCTATTCAACAAAACTGAATGAACCCTTTTGATTTCCGCTATTTTCAGAGCAACTCTTTCTAAACAGTCCACAATACACTAAACTTTCGGGGCACAAAATCCTTCCTTATCAAGGCAAACCCACGGAGGCAAGTACATGTACTTTCTGCAGTCTTGCCATCTTTCAGGTTAATTCGCTGATTAAAAATACCCAAAGGTTTCGTACTATCAATCTCAGTCAAAGGTTACTTTTCCAATTCAGTAAAGTGCGTCCCTCAGGTGAAATACACACTTGACGATTTTTTTTTTTTTTTTTTTAAATATATTAACGTTTACACGGTTCCACAAATACGTTATGAAGAAGGTTAATTGAAGGTGGACGGCTGGAATGCATCACGTGAGATACCACAAAATTAAAACACAGTCTCTGAAAATACGACTGGTTTTTTTTTTCTACTGACACGAGTGCTGCATGTCTGACATGAAAATCAGGATTGCAGTTTACACCCTGACGAGACTGTTCATCTGTGACGTGACAACATACTAATTGGGAGTTGGCGATAGTAAATTGCTTGCATCTTGTCTGAATGACAAGTGAAATCCTTCTAATTCCGACAGTCTGTGCGTCTGGTTATAGCAGGGACAAGATTTTTTTCCCCGCCGGTTATCCTGAAGGCATACGGGTCATGGCTCTGGATAGGGTGTGAATCAACAGTGCATACTATTTGTAGAATCAACCGAATAATAATGGTTCACATCGTGTGCACATCTTTCAAAAAGTAGAATTCCAAGTTAAGGCCTTTGGCTTCGACTAAAACATGTTTTTGAAATGCAAGTCAATTTAGTTTTACATCGTGTTGAAAGGCTGCATTATTTTTTAGAATCTTGTTCGAAGTAGGATGTGTCAAACACGATGACCCACTTCCGGGTCGGGTTGACCCGGGAAGAGTTTGAGCAAAACCTGACCCGGAGGTGAAAATTCTGATTTCGGGACTCTTACGGAGTTCAAGGGGTGCTATCAGAAGCCATAAACCCGTATATGCCATGTGGCCAGGGATCACGCCAAAAGTCTCGATGCTAGCAACATAAGCAATGCTGCAAACCCGGGAAACAGCAAATGGGAATCAGTAACAGAGGATGGCTTCTGACAATACTATCTTCAGTAAAGATACTGACAAAATAAGAACCGCCAACATAGGGCTGGATGGATAGCTCAGTTGGTAGAGCACCGGAGCGGCAATCTGGATGTCGCGGGTTTAAAACCCTGCTCCAGTCGTTAAAATTAAAAAGTAAAGTCATGAACTTTTAAAATCTTTATGAACGACACGACGAGACTGATAAATTGTGCACATGCTTTGAATAAATCTGAAGGAATAGGAAGAACTCCAACTGTATAAGACTAGAAGCTTCCTAAATCTAAAATCCTAAAATATGTGACATGGGCCTATTTGTTCCTATGCAGTATGAGCATTGATTGATGATATGGAGTATAATGGCTCAGACTTAATGGCACAAGACAATAAAAAGCACTCCACTCAGCAAGGCCCGGGCTAAGTCAGCGATGGCTTTTGCACTTGGGAATTATTAAATTACTCCGCCGAATCCGGGCGATTTCAGCGAAGCTTTTAAGAAAATCCACTCTGGTTTTCGACGGTTTGATGGACGACAGGACGTCTTTGTTAGCATAAAAAATGGGGGGGGGGGAATGTTTGGCTGATGCACATCAGTATAATTTTTTAATGTGTAAAATAAAGACATAGAAATGACGGTTTTACGTGCATCTTTAGACGGCTAGACGAGACAACAATAAAGTCTGCTGTGTCGCTGTTCAGGGTGCTGCAAAAAGAAAGAAACCACTTTTGACAGCAATTTCCACCTTTACTTTGTCAACATTTCAAATATGGTATTAACATTTTGATCTTTAAACACGAGTGACGAAAACATGATTGCAAAAGCATATTTGTCTCTGAGATATGGTTTAAGCATTTCATGTGCCAAACCTGTTTGTCCACGGACGGCTTTATTCCATCCGCTTGACTGAGCTCCGGAGCTTGATTTGAAGATGAAAAACACTACACAAGACTTTAATACACGTTGACAACAGTGATTTTGGTGACTTGTTTTCAAATTAGCATTATAACACTATTCTTGCGATTTTTTTTAATATTTTTTTAACCACGTATGGTTGAAGAGCTATACTTCACTTTACAAAAAAAATCATTTCAAATCAGTTAAGTAAGTAGGTTAAAATTCGTGTCAATAGTGGGTTTCCTTCTTTTTGCACCACCCATATAATCAGGTATACATGGAAGTATATTCCGAATAAAATTTTGTACATATTTAAGAAAAGAAAAATACCAAATTGTTCATTATTTTTTTTTCAACTGCTTAATAATATTGAGGACGTGAATGACAAAAAATGTTGTCAACAAATGAAACAAAAGCAAGCAAATGGACCCAGAAAAAACAAGAAAAAAACAAAAGGTAGTAATACAAATACAACAACAAAACAAAAAGCACACAAAACTAACAAAACAAAACAGACAGACTCGAAAATGAAAATTAATTCATAATTTCACCCCATCGTTGAGCTACGATACATGCAACGCGTCCACATACCTCGTGAAATCCAGAGGATACTCACAAAATGGTGTAGGCCGGCCGCATCAACAGAAATCTCGCCAAGAACAATAACCCGTATCTTTCACTGTATTGACTCGCGTAGGAAGTGCACGTTTTATGCAGGTATTCGAGTGCGGTCGGTGAATCGCTAAAAACATGGGGCTAAATGCTCTCCGTGATGCGCGATGATGTCAATGCGATTTGCGTTCTCAGGGGACTGAGCGAGCCAGTGACGACGTCAGCATGGGAGTCAATCGCTTGACTTGCCCGTACTGTATCCAGCGAGCTCGCGGGCTGACAACATCTTGAGGCTTTTGGATGAGTTTTTGAAGGAGTTGCGCTGCAATGTTTGCACAACCCCGCGTTACGTGTCTTGAGTATATATTTGTATAGACGGCTAGGAGGAAAACAATGAGGAGTGCATTCAAATTGGTTTCGTTGTCAACTCGCCCCTGGCTACAATCAACAAAGCGGACGCGGTAGCCGTGGAGTCGGAATGAGCCATGTTTGCTTATTATTCAGACACAAAACCGCTGTGGCCAAACAACCATTCCATGCTTGTCCTAGCAAAACAAACCTCTGTAAATCATTTCGTTGATTTGCGGGAACCTTGTGCATAAATCCAACCCAACTCAACTGACCAAATTAGCCCAACCCAACTCAACCCAACCCAGCCCACCTCCTCCCTGCCCGACCCAACCCACCCCGACCAAGCTAGCCCAACCAAATCCAACCAACCCAACTCAACCCAACCCAACCCAATCCAACCCAACCCATACAAGTGTGTATTTGCCTGCAAATTAATCGGGGACCCCCTATTGTCCCTCTTTTGCTTGTGGAAGACCTCCCACATGTTTTGTACACGAATCCAAATTGGGGACTCTCGGGAATGGGGATTCTATTGTCCTCTACTGTTCAACGTCCTCTATTGAACGCAGAAACAAACTCAACCCAATCAAACCCAACCCAACCCAACCCAACTCAACTCAACCAACCCAACCCAAACCAAACCAACACAGCCAGCCGGCCCAACGTACCCAACCTCACCCAACCAAACCAAACCCAACCCAACCCTACCCTACCTTACCCTACCCTACCATACAAGCCAAGCCTAGCCAATCGAACACGGGCCAACCCAACCCTACCTTACCCAACCCTACCCTACCATACAAGCCAAGCCTAGCCAATCGAACACGGGCCAACCCAACCCTACCTTACCCAACCCTACCCTACCAAACCCAACACAAACAAACCAAACCCAACCCAACCCAGCCCAGCCCAACCCAACTCAACAACTCAACCAACCCAATCCAAACCCAACCAACCCAGCCAGCCGGCCCAACCCAACAAACCCTACTCTACTCTACCCTACCCTACCCTACCATACAAGCCAAGCCAAGCCAAGCCAAGCCAACCCAACCCTACACCCTACCCTACCCAACACAACCCAGACCACTTGAACCTACCCAACCCTGTACAACCCAACCCAACCCAACCCTACCCTGCCCAACCCAACCCAACGTCAACCCATCTGAACCAATTAGCAAAACTTCTAGTGTCCGCAGTACCTTCCTTTTTCCAAAACGACAGAGTGGAACGGAAATAGAATGGAATGACAATACAAGGCCGTCACGGGAGAGCATATCGATCTCTAATCAATACCTCTGAATTAGACATCAAATCGATATCTCCGAATTACATGTCAATATCTCTGAAGTATAAGGACGATTCTTCAGGGCAATTGAGGACAAAGAAAACATCTGTACCAAAGGGAAACTCAAACATGAAAACATGTCCGATTGACAATTAATGTAAAATTGAAATCACTTTGCTCCTGTGTATGCAAGTTGTGGGACTAAGATTGAAAAAAAAATGCATGTCGGCACAGAGCCAGCCAGAGGTCTTGAGTTAATATTGGTCATTGGACTATAATTAGATTTTTCCTGTTAACGATCAAAATAATTATTAACACTACATTTCTCTAAATTAATTTCCTCTTTCGTTTTTCACTTCTTGGTTCTACAGAAAGCGCGCCATACTTCTTTTTTTTGGGGGGGGGGCGTGAGGGGGAGGGGCGGGCCGAGGCGGGGAAGAAAATACAAGTATCCTAGTTCATCAATGAAATGTTTTTCAGACGTGATCAATTTAAAGGGGATTTGCTGCATGAGCCGCGTCAAAAAGATGTCTTCATCCTAAGGAATTATCTTTTTTTCTCTATTCCTATGTAAAATGACAGCACGTCCGACTGGCATCTTGCCAAGTATAGACGTGGAGAGTATTACCGTTTGTACAAAACAGAATTAGCTTTTAAATATCAACTCGGTTGCTATGTTTGCTGTTTATTTCCAATCCTTCAATTTCTATCTTTTGGGATAACAGTTTTGCAGAAGCTTCTTACCTCTCGAGAACTAGTAATTTTATGAAACTGGAGCAACCCGTAAACACACACGTCCGCAGCCTTTTAAGCCTCCCAAGAGATCCGCAACATACATCAATATTTCCAACAAGCAGCTGAGTGTCTCTAAAGACAATACTCATAACGCATGGCTATTATTTACTTGTTTGCAGATGTAGGAAGGATGTTAAAATGGTCATCAAAAGCCTTTTTTTGTTTGTTGAGTGCTTGGCCCAAGTCCAGCGCGGGCTGTACACATAATGCAAGGGGTGGGCTGTCGATCGATTCCTATGTGTACCCGACATGACACCCCCTTGGACCATTTATTATTTACGCTGAATCCTTTTAGACTTACGGGCAATTAAGGCTTGTGTGTTCATGTGGGCATTACCCCCCGGCTGGTTTTCAGGATGGAGGCATCTGTTGCTTGCTCACCTTGGAGAACCATGCATCTACAAGTCCCAGTTCTAAGTTTCTCAGCTGACAAGCTAGCAAATGAGCTAGATCATGGATGAAGTGAGACCCAGTCACATCTAATGACGATTTGGCTGGTTACCCATTTTTATGAATCCGAGTTTGTCTGGCTTGCTTGCTTGCTCGCTTGTAATACATCCAACGAAATTATTCCATCCTTTAAAATGTCTTTCCCAAAAAAATAAACGGGTGGTAGAGTTTGTACCCAAAATATTAGACCTATCGTGAATTATCTATGCACTTCTCTTTTAAGGGGCACTTTGAGCGAGTTTTAAAACAAATCACTCCCCACTTTCTTACGGCAAGTTATTTATAACTTTTGGACGCATGCTGAGTAGTATTACACGCATGTTTTTATTACATATCCGTGTGATGAATAACACGGAAGTTCTATCGGAATATTTCTCTGGTGACAAAACTCTCTTTTTTAACCAACAGATAAAATAACAGATAAAAAAAGTCCAAATCAACAAACGGAAGAAAGCAAGCGAGGAACCAAACAAATAAACAAATAATTAACAAGCTCAATTTTCACAGTGCAAGTAAAAGAATATGAGAAAATAAAGTACATGCGGTAAACATGAATGACATTAATAGTAACCACAGGCAATAATACAATCAGCAACATCACAGCTTTACTTTTGAATCGCCGAACGACTAAAACACACCGCTATCTATTCACACGGAAGTTGGGATACAAATAATATGCTGTTTCGGTGTTATAACAAAACCAATCCGGCAAGACAAAACGCTCATGGATTTGATTTCAACGGTCCACTGTTAGTTGAGCTGACGAGCATGTTAGTATAGGGTCGATTTCGAGATCGTTTCAAACGTACGTGACCGTGGGACTTGCTTTTTAAATGAGGTCAAAATCGATCGAAAATCCGGTCAAATTGCAGTTGCAACGAATAATCCTAAATAAAAACGTCCTTTTCTCGTAAGAGGAAGTGTCCGTTTAAGTATGCAAATGCTTCATTTTTTGGTACTGGGCTACTGCAATACCAGTTTCGTATCGGCAACATTTTTTTCCACCCAGTATACTGGGTGGAAAAATGTTGCCGATACGAAAATAATCCAAGAAAACAAATAGTACAATCATTTGGAAATCCAGACAGTCCATCAATAATACATTTTAAAGAAAAAAAAGTTCGTTCACATTAGAGTCAAGTTATTTTTTATATAATTTTGTATAAGCCTATATATTTTGCATTTTTCTTACGCCGTAAGTTTGCAATTTCTAGAAATAGAATGGATGTACATGCACATGTACGTCTAAAACAAATGCTGGTTATTCGAACAGTCGAGTAACTTCGGTCACTCAAAAAAAAAACCACCATAGTTGAAACCTATCGTTCGTTCACAATTTCAACATCTCGCCGTGTTTTCCCGTCGTTAAAACATGTGACGAATCTCGTGTTTAAAGCATAGGGCGTTGTCGTAATAGTTACGACACATTTCACTTAGGAGTTCACTGACCTTACTGACATCTCTGACCTTGAGTTGCTCGGGGAAAATCCGTTCTCCCGTCCAAATGATTTACGCCTATCTTAACTTGACACTCGACAGTACCCTGACGATATCTCCGTCGTATCCTAGTACAAGCTGGTTTACCCGATCATAGATCGGGTAGGGCGTAGTGTTGGGGATGAAAATGTGGGGAGTTAAATGTAAATGGGGGATATAGTTGGTGAGACATGCAGTTAAAGAATATCAATTTCTGTGGTGTGATCTGAGGCAATTTCTGATCACTGAAACCAATTTTAGCAAAAGATCATCTGTGAAAGTTTTGAGTTTTGAGTAATTGAATCAGCTACATGTATTCTGAGCAATAGAATCATTATTGTAGGCTACAATATTTTTATTCGGGGAAGAAAAAGTGTGGAGGGGGGGGGGAGACCAAACAATGTCCCCCCTCAAAATGTGGGGGGGGGGGGGGGTGTGTGTGTGTGTGTGTGTGTGTGGGGGGGGGGGGGGGTCCCCTGTCCCCCGTCGATTTACGCACATGATAATTATGTACCATGGCAACTGTCTGTAAATGTTGCCGTTGGTCTGTTAAATTGGCTTTTTGTGAGGCAGTCGCATTTGGAAAACGAAGATCATCTTTTAAACATCATTTTCGAGTTTGGTGTCATTGAATCAGCTATTCTGAGTAATGGAATCATTATACATGTAGTAGCTACAATTTTTATTCGGGGAAGAAAAGTGGGGGGGGGGGACCAAAAAAGTCTCCACCGCTTTAAAATGGGGGGGGGGGGGGGGGTGGAGGGGTTCCCCGTCCCCCACCGATTGACGCCCATGATAATTATGTACCATGGCAACAGTCTGTAAATGTTCCCTTTGGTCTGTTAAATTGGCATTTTGTGAGGCAGTGGCATTTGTGAGAAAACGTACTTGAAAGGCTTGCCGTAGTACACAGGCGATGGCTGATTGAGAAGGTCATAATTAAATTTCAGTATATTGGACTCTTCAACAAACGTAAACTTGAACGTCTTACAATTTGCGAGACTGTCTGCGAGGAACTTGTCGAGTCAACTGTTATTCAACTTGGGTCAACCATCTATATAAGAGCAAATTTTACTCGGCCTCCGAGAAATGTTTGCTCCTGAAACGATCTGAGACCGCGGTCTTTCGCGACGCCAAAATCGCTCCACGTCCGTGGAAAAATGTGGAGGGTGTCTTCCGCCGGATCGGACACATTTTCGTTGATTTTTTGTGTGACTGCGTTTAAGATCGCGATGTTTGAAGCAATGCATCGATCCTTCGTTGATCCCAGACAGGCCCCCGAAATTATAACGCAACACTGTGGCGGGCAGCGAACTCACAACGCTCAGCCTTGGTGGAAGCATCACTCACATGCTTGTGCTTCAAATCATGCAAATAGTGAGCACCGCAGACCCAACCTCGTTTCCAGGGTGTGGAGCAGGCTGCAGTACGCGTTGCCATCGACAGTTTTGCATAGCCCGGATATACTACGCAGTGTAGACTTTCGATTGGTCAGACCGCGCAAGGCATACTTAATGTGTAGTCCTTCTGAGTATTCGTTGCACTCGGCGCAGGGGCGGCAAGCGAAGCATATGAAAGAATAGGGGCACTCGGTGGCCACGCACCATGGAGAAAAAATATTTTACCAAGGTCACCCCATATCACAATTTGGTGAACGCTTTGGCCGTACGGCTGAGTAGAACACGTAAACGAAACCCCTACGTTGACCTCGCTGACGTCGCACAGTCTAGACTCGCAGAAAAGCCAGCACAGGGGGCGGCCAGGCAGTCAACGTGAAAGCGCACACGACGGAAAATTCCTGTGCAAAATGCTGTCACGAAAAATAGACGAAAAGGATCGCCGGTCCGTACGGGAAAATCAGGACGACCCGAAGTGTCCGACCCGGCGGAAGACACCCTCCGTATTTTTCCACGGACGTGGAGCGATTTTGGCGCCGCGGGAGCCCGCGGTCTCGGATCCTTTCATGAGCAAACATCGTCTCCGAGGCCGAGTTAAACTCTCTCTTATATATATAGATACGTACAGACTGGCTACCGTAAGCTATTGACCTCTGACCTCCAGTTGAGGTTACCCAAGAGGTCACACATACCTGGCACAGTGTTTTGTTTCAACTACAACTGAATGAGTGCGGTATGCATTATGCTGGTGACAATTTGAAACAGCCTTGTTTTACACAACGTAGAACTTCAGTAAACATATATGATCTGGTTTAGAAATATCAGTGATTGACGATTAATAGTTTTGTGATCTTACAACAGAACAGACGACAGCATTAACTTCGGAGTGGGAATTCTTGTCGGCACTTAATTTAAAATAATAAATTTTACAGCGCAAGCGAAACTTGATTATGAGGCACACACTGAGTGTGGTCGGCTTTGCAACGGCGATAGTGACAAACTTGTTAATGTGATTGCCTGAGGATTGTGTGTCTAGGATTACACCACTATACAACATTCAGCATTAAAATCGCCCTCTAGACTCGCACTGTGTAGGATACCGTTGGACATTATCACACACTCAATTTGTTATACACTTGAGCATAGGATGTAGTGCATAATTGTTGTTAATTGTGTATGTTATGCACAGTTCTTGTTTCAACATGTCCCCGGCCAAAAGGAAAATTATAAGAAACGATCTGCAATAAATTAAAGATATAAATCGTCATTTGTAAAGAGTGTAAAGATTATGTTTAAAATTTGTTGAAGAAAATTACAAAAATGTAGGCCTGCAAAATGAAACGAAGTGAGCTTCGCCAAATTGTGACAGAATTTTCATCTTAAAAGATGATGCCAGATACTATACAGGATTTCCATCTAAAATACGCTAGACTTTCTACAGATCCTTGCACTTTTCTCTGTCGAGAAGGTACGTTTTTCTCAAGGAACTGGCCAAGATAAAATTCCTCAGACTGAGCTCATATAATCCAATGATGATAAGCGTGACCTGTGCCCAAGATCAGTCGAAGAGTAGAGACTTATATTATTATTGATGCTGTCCAGAAAACGCAGCCTCCAACAACTTGAACATAAACTAACGGACTATGTTGCCCAAAACTAACGGACTATGTTGCCCACATAATGTAGGCCTATACGGTGTTTATAAATTTATCTGAATTAAGAAAATCATGGTTAAAATTATCATCGACCTTCCTCCTTTATATTCCACACGACAATCCATAGGGATATACAACAAGCGGTTTTTTTTTACAGCCAGCGGCGACTCCGCGTAGGCCTACCTACGGTCTGCATAGCGTTCGGCAACGCTGCAGATCGCACGTACATTTTATATCTCGCATCAACCCCGTATGACTCACCGCGCGAAACACAAGAGTGTAAAATTACCCGAGATTCTCATCCATTCAAACATTTTTTTGCTTTTCCCATCAAAGAGATCCTGTTCTAAACTCACCTTCTTGGTCGTCAAGGGTGGACTCGCATCATCTCGAAAAATGCTGGAATCCAAATCTTTGAGTTGGACGGCGGAAAACCTGAGACTTAGGATCAGGAGCATTGTTCAAAGTCGCGTGTTCACACAATGTCAACGTTGTCGTACGTACATAAACAAAATAGAAGTTTTTATTTTTAGTTCGTCCTGGACAATTCTTACCGATTGGTGGCGCTGTTGCTTTTGCAGTCGACATATCGAGAGTTCATTTTTTTGCGGCGTGCTGTCTGCATCACACCGTCGTTTGTGCATGGTTTGTGAAAACATAACCTGGAATATATAGCTTGAGTCATTGAGGTAGTATGCCTGTATTCGTTTAAATGTTTATATTTATCCGTAGTGAAGTTCATTTGTTTAATTTCAGCAGGTCAAAAGAATCGAGTATTACTACACTAGCGCATCACGGTCATTTTTGTATTGACCAGTTGTGATATTGCAATTTGTCATTGTTTGTGCACATTAAAGGGAATGTACAACATTTGCTTTTGCTGCATTTTTCAGAAATAAATGGATTTGGAGGGTTAGTATGTAATAGCAAATGTTGTTAAACTGAGTTGCTTCACGTTTTGGGCTCGGAGATGCTGGAAAATCCAAGAAAACCAACCATATTTTTGTAGTCTGGTTCCCTGACCCCAAGCAAGATGCAACGGAGCAATTTATAGACTTTGGGAAATTGTTAGGTCAGAGAATCAGTCTAGCAGGCTTGTACCCCTTCACAGGTGTGTAATCAATTGCAAGAAAATGCGGAATAACTAGTTAAATGAAAAATCAGCAGCCCTTTTTGAAAAAAAGTCAGTTTTCTCCAATGCTGGTCGGCCGACCAGTGTGGAAAAATACAAGTTTTCTTGTAAATGTCAGCACACCAGGGGCCACGAGTTTACAGGATGCTTTGGACTGTCATCCCCAAGCAATCCAGTAAGATATTTCATGATAATTTGAACATTTTGTTTTTTGAATTTGATATTTGCAAATGTTGTATTTTCCCTTTAAGTACGACCACATGCTAAAAGGCTAAAAAAATATGGTTTATTGTTTATCTACCCTCTGGCTAACTGCAAACTCATATGTCAATGTCGGTTCAAAATTGATTCAGTGTTCGGCAACTTCAAAGTATGTTGCTGAAAATACTGGACTACCTCCGTTTATTTTCAGCCACATTTGGACTACCTTCGTATATTCAGCCACATTGCTACATGACATGTACATTATATAATTTTATAACACCTCACCCACAGATTCTGTGTCTTGATTGGCCGAGAGCGAGTCACATGTTACTTTCTAATTTTGCTATCTTTCTGTGCACGGCCAAAAGTACTATGCGCATAGCAACCAAAGTACTATACAATTAGCAACCAACGTACTATTTCCACGGCGCGGTAATGCAAATGCATGCTGGTGTGCGCGTTGTGCGTAGCGCGTATTATTCCAAAGAGAGTGCGCCGCAGACTTGGGTTCAAACATTTCGTGAAGGGGTACTTTTTAAGAGAGAAATACATTTTCCACCAATTTTGTATTGAAATTGAAGTTTATTTCAACTGTGTTCAGATTTAAATAATGTAAAATATCAAAATCAAGCAGAATCTGTGGGTGAAGTGTTATAAAACAAATATTGAATGCTTTATCTCGTGGTGAAGTAAAACTAGCCTCCCTCGGTGATCCATGGACCATTCTATTTTCCCTCGGCTTCGCCTCGGGAAAATAAAATGGTCCATGGATCACCTCGGGAGGCTAGTTTTACTACACCACTCGAAGCATTCAATATTTGTATAATATACCCTGTGTGCGCATGGACACCCTCATTGCTAAGGGAGCAGAAAATCAAAAAAAGATCGAAATTATTTTATCACTTCATAATCACCCCAAGTATTCTAGTGATAGCAAAAAAAAACAACCTGTTGAATTCATTACCGGTACCATCAGAGGTCTAGTTATCTTGTAATTTGGGGTTGAATTCAGACAAATTTGGGCTGCCATTGCATTGTTCACAAAAACGTCATGCTGCATGCCGTCATGGGTTGTGATAATGGCGCCCTCACTGAGCTTGCGTCAAATTTTGGTACGGCTATATCTGAAACTGAAAGTAATGAATTCAACGTTTTTTTGCTATTAAGCAGTTATAGAATACTTGGGGTGATTATAAAGTGATAAATAATTTTGATCTTTATTTGATTTTCTGCTCCCTTAGCAATGAGGATGTCCACACACATGGTATATTTAGCAATGTGGCTGAATATACGGAGATAGTCCAGTATCAGCCACAATATACGGAGATAGTCCAGTATTAAGCCACAATGTACGGAGATAGTCCAGTATTCAGCCACACTCATTGGTCAACCTCAAAGCCAGAGAGCCTAAGATGTAAGGTTAAACATGTAGTTATCATATAACTCTATCTGTGGCTCTCTTCAGGACTTGTGGCCGATTGCACTGACTATTCTGCTCTCATCAAGTTGAGGAACCTTTTTTCTGACGTTGCTTCAACAACTTAACGATGTCACTCACCAAAGAAGCCTCCCTGTCTGCTGAAGAGGCTGTTGATCCGGTGAGTATTTTGTTTTACTGAAGTTTTCAAAACGTGTATATATTCAGTTTTTGTTGTGTGGCTGACTATCATTTAGCCGTAAATAAGTCTTTTTAAACATTGTAACATGATTGATAAAAGTGGTTGATAATGTAACAGGGAGATGGGGAGGAGATCGATGTCGTTTCCATGGATACCAAGTCGAGTGATGAGGTCAAGGTTGAGGTCATGACCCCAGAGCGTACCTCTCCCGTCACTGTCGTGGAACCTCCCACGGAGCCTACCACACCCCAGGATACAGACCCACAGTGTTACTGTAACAAACCCAGGGACGGACTCATGCTGCAGTGCGATATGTGCAAGAGGAAGTTTCATATGGGTGAGAGTTGAAGAGAAAATCTACCATCTTTTTTACCCACCCTCAAGCCCGGTTCATACTTCACGCGAAAGCAAGTGCGAAGCGAAATTCATGTCGTCAACAATGGTGGACGCGCTTCAAATGTATTGTTGACGTCACGAATTTCGCTTCGCTTTCGCTTTCGCGTGAAGTGTGAACCGGGCTTTAAGTGGTTTTTTGTTTTTAAATACATGTTAATGCTGTTTAACTGTTGGTGTGTAGCAAGCTCAATTTTCCGATCTCTGCAGGTTGTCTGAAGACTGGTAACCCCAGCACGCTGGATGGCGACACCTACTTCTCCTTGAGATGTGAAGGATGTAGCCACACCCACGAAGAGGTAGTCACCAGGATGAAGCTGACATGGTAAACGGACCAAATGATTTTAAACTCTTAAAGGGCCCATGCAACGTACTTGTTTTAATGCAATCCTTTACAATGCACCTTTGTGAACCTTATTTTCAATATTCATTTTGCCATTTTCAAAGGTATTTTGGTGCCTTTTTTGTTTTATGCTAATGCAAATTTCCATATTCATGAGGAAATATGTGATTTCATTTCAGGCAGAATCTCCATGTTACAGCTATTTCCGCACCAAAAGTGATTGAGAATTTTGGATATTTTTCTGTCGTAAATGTTCTTTATTGATGCGTTGTTGTGTCAGTACATGGCAGTAACCAGTGAGCAAATTTTTCTCACAAATGTTTCCAATGAGCAAAGTTTTGGGTTCACAATTTAAACAGAAACCCCTAAACTGAACAGTGTCTTCCTGAAATGACATCACAGCAACAGCGCCCTTAATTGTCTAGAAAAGCATGGACAATTTTAAATGTCTAAAGAAGTGCATTTTTCAATAAAATTAACCAAAAAGGGATGTGAAATAGTTTTCATACATTTAAGAGAAGTAGAAAGTTGCACAAAATATGTTCCTAAGAAAAAATCCATTGCAGTCACTTGATTTTGTCAGCCAGAGAGGTTTGATTAATTAAATGCTGGATGTTGAAGAGCATTATCTTTTCAAACCTTGTTACAACTGTGCAAATCTTCATTGCTTGATTCCTGTTCCTTCACAGGCAACAGGTGGTGATTCTGTCGCTGTATAACCTGAGTCTTAAGAAGAGCGGTCGCAAAGGGTTCTTCCGCTGGAAGGAGGACATCTGTGAATTCATATCGCAGCACTGGACCCTAATCTTTGGCAACAGGTAAGACCTTGCATATACACCATACGATGTCACAATGTCTAAACTTTACATTTTGTGGAGTTTTTGGACTTTGAATTTTTAGTTGTGCTCATCATATCAGCTAATTTTGAATACTTTTGGACAATTTCAGCGTCACGGACATTACATTTACAAAAATGTGATGTCCACGACAGAGCGAATTAATCAAGATGTCTAATTAATGATTCAGAGAAATGATCCCAAACTCCTAGTCTGTAATCTCCTTGACCACTACTAGATGATGGATGTATGAGATTTGAAAGATACATTTTCAGGCTTATCCACTGAGCTCCTCAAATACAAAAAAAAATCGGCTCATCGTCCGTGAGGCTGGATTCGCCCCTTTGCAGTAAAGCCAATTAATTTGACATTTCCAAAAGTGTTTCCGGATAACAGAGCAATAGTTTGAAACTTGAGCTCGGAGTCACACATGCAAAGTTTTGTTTGTTTTCTATTGTGTCTGAAACATTTATGTGTCAAGTTCAAACAAATTTGACATCATTTGTCTCAATCATTGTGCAAATCATTGTGTCACACAGGCGCAGCCTGTGGTTCAGTGCATTAGGGATATGTGGGGTGTGCCATGTCAATTTTCGAATAATTTAGTATTCGATTATTTAAAACAGCACTTTACCAAATATTTGAATATTCAAACTTGCCAATCAAGTTTACACATGCATGCATGCAATGACGGATTGATGCAGATGATGGCGAAAAGCTATTCGAATATTTGATTTGATGGTCGAATATTCGAATATTCAGTATATTCGGGAAAGCCCTAGTGTGTCAACAATTGCCAAATACAAGCCCGATTTTATTATTATATTTCTTCCATTTCCAGCAAAGCCAAGACCCAGACTTGGCACGGTACCGTCGCCGGTGTCCTCTCTGTCAGCAACAAGTCTCTCTTCAAGTCAGGAGCGTCCGAGTTCGGCGAGGCGGGCTGGTGGTCCCTGATCGAGATGAAACCGCCCGAGCTCAAACCAGAAATTCCTCGTAAGCAAATCTTAAACATCTTCTTTTGACTATAATTCCATTTCTTAATATTTAACTTTGCGTAAGTTTGATCACTTACATGTAAATCCCCCGTTTTGTTATTGGACTCTTCCAGCTGGTACTGGGAAGCAGTATGTAGCTGGTAGAAAAGCCAAGGTCCCCTTTGAACCAACCATTAAGGTGGAGGGGTTGAGGAACAGGAAGAGGGGAACATCTGTCGAATCGGCCATCGAACTAAAAGAAAAACGATCCAGAACCCAGGTATGAGTGTTTTAAAGCATGACTCTTAAAATAATTAAATTAAAAACTTAAAGCTATTTCAATTCTTCCTTTTTTGGTCGAGTTTTTGAATGATGTCTTACAGTCCTTGTAAGTAATCCTTGTTTTTTGCCCTCTGGCAATGTAATGGCAGGAGGCCAAGGATATCCGCAGGGCCAAGCAGGCCATTGCCAGTGAGGAGCTCAACAAGAAAGTAAAACTACAGAGGGAGGTGGACATTGATGATAGTAGTATGGACAGCTTTGGTAGCGAGGTATGTGTGTCAGTTACGTTAGCATCTTGTCGATTTGTTTTCATGAAATGATTCAGTCAGTGTTCTTTAACCTTCCTCCTCAATGAACAGGGTTTGAATCCTGTTCAGGCCTATCGTGCAGATTGTGTTCCCTACTGTGTTCAGGGTTTTACTTAATAGGCATTTCCTCTCACATTTTTCACCATCTTCCATCAAAATGTTTCTTTTTTTAGGCATCCTTGATTTTTATGTTCAGGAATTTAAAAACAAAAATATTTGTGTGTGCATGAAACCTCTTTTCGTTCAATCAAGTGTGACCTGTTCTGTGAAAAGCAGACGCTTCTGGGCAGAGGTTGAAATTGAGATAGGGCCAAAAAACGCTGTGGGGGGTGATTTTTTTTCGATTTTCAATTGTTTGCATATTTGTTATCCTGAACATGTCTTAAATATACCATAAGAGTTTGAAACCCTAAGTTGAACTCTAAATATAGTATTTTTGATGATAAAGTTAAAGAAATTACTGTTATTGTGACGTTCGTGGCCATTTTCTCCGTTTTCTACTTTTCGACACAATGAACTTAAAAATAGCATAACTCTGCCCAGGAATGACCGGTTTCAAAAATTAAACCACCTATTAAAAGGAAAAAGAACATATGTTAACAATATGCACAAATCTCATTTTTGACTTTATGCCCAGAAAAGTCTGATTTTGACAGAACAGGTAACAAGTATGTTCACTCCAACTAGGTATTAAATTAACTTTTCCATTTATTTCTGGCAATGAAACTGTGTGCTCCTCAAATCACAGGGAGCCTGATGAGATTGAAGTGCAAAGGAATAATTTAAAAATGGGAAAAGAGCAACCAAGTAAAAACACTAAATAAAGAGAAAAGAAGCCAATTTCATTCAGGATATTATATTTTGGATTTTGTAAGTGGTTTGCATTTTTATTCCAAGAGTTCACTTTGACTGGTACTATAAAACATCACAGATCTCCCGTACAATTTCACCCTTCTTCCTTTTTTTACCCCTGTGATTGTAGAGCTTTGGGCTGCCCCCTTCTGTTCCCGATTCACCCTCTGTCCTGAGCTTGCTTGGAGGCGACAACAGCTCAGACTTCCTTCTCTCCAATCTCCTCAACGAAAGTGATCTTACTCCAGCAGGTAAGAACTCGTTTTGGAGCATCAGAATCAACAGTCCTTGTGAACCCTTTCAACTCGCTGTGTAATGCATTGTTTTTCTGTTTGGAATACAACAATACTCCAGTAAGGCCAGGTAAGTAAAATAAGTAGTTTCTCATCCTGCCTGTTCAGTTGAGAAAATGAAGGAGGCGGCGCTGTTTTTTGTGCTTTTTTTCCCCAAGATGGCGGATGGATTCTTCAATTTTCTTGACTATTTTGCTGAGACAAATTTGTGTCCTAAGGAGCCACTACCCTTTCTACATAAGTAAAACACATGTTGGAAACAAATAAAAGACAGTATATTGACGAGATACATGCAAAATATATTGCAAATGTATGAATTAAAAAAAAAAAAAAGGAAGTGGGTGGGGACAAGAAACTAGTTTATTTTTTACTCAGCCTAAGACTTGCAGGTTTGCATGGTGGATTGTTAGATGTAAAGTTTGCAGTAGCACCATGTAAACAAATCTCTTTTGTGACTTTGTGAGGTTCTGAAAAGAGCCGGTTCGATTATAGTATGCAACTGTGGAGCGTCTATGTCAAACAGGTGTGTCATCTTGCCAAACTACATTACCCATCTTCACCCCTCACAGCATCTTTCGCCCCTGCTCACCCTACTTTCTTCTCACCCATACAGAGACCATCCCCTCGGCCCTGATGGCGGGAGACGAGGACGACTTCATCCCCCCATCCAAGGGCATCCCTCTCTTCCGCATCCCCACCCCGGTCTTGAGCAGCCAGGCCAGCAGCAGTAACAGCTCCTCCTTGGGTCTTGACATCAAGGAAGGTGATGGAGGAGACAAGGGCGGGGGGAAAGCAACCATCGGCGACACCCGGGCGGAGACTGTCTCCAAGGCCATGACCCGGAGGTCAAAGGTCATGGAGGTCAAAGCGGATGAGAAGCAGGAAGAAGGCCCGAAGTAAGTCAGGAGATGGGATCTTATGTACAATCTTGTCGCTAAACGGATGAAGGGTGGGGCACTCCTCACTAAACGTTGGAGGAGGAAACTGTCTTAAGAAACATATTCATGAAGAAAGGTTCCCTTAAATTTCATTGGTGGCTACCTGTCATGACGATAAATTTTATTCCCGGTAGTGTAATTAGCTAAACTTACGTGCGCCTGCAGAATGCGACATCTGTATTTTAACACGCAAAATTGTTGATGCCATTTCACCAGTCACATAAAAATGCCAATAAGAAACCCAAGAAATATGGCATCACAAATGCCCGTAAAAGTACACTGGCTAATTAGCAATGCAACAGCATCCAGTGTCTGAACATTTTACCAAATCAGATCACAATAGTAGTGACATTTCCAAAATATTTAGATACCTGCCGATGAGTGTCTACGAGGAGCAACAGTTACTGCGCGTGATTGAAGCCTGCCCTCAAGCTGTCGAGAAGAACCCGGCCGCGAGACGGCTCAGGCGAAAACTACTGGTCCGACAGGTAAGTTCGAAATCTGTGAATCTCCCTTTCTGCGTACAGCGGAGAAGAGAACCCTTTGCAAATCGTAGGTGGCGAGTTTGCTCAATTCAAACACAGCTGGTGAAATTGCGACTGGCCCAAATATCATTAGCTTTAATTAATGGATTGGTTTATTCGCCACAAATGTGGAGCCGCAATTCCTATGCTGAGTTTGGAACTAACTCTCTAAATCTTCTAGAGCAGAGCTGCCCAAGCCTAAAAAGCCCCAAACGAGAGTTGTTGTCCACGGCTATGGATAGTCACTCTAACTTTAAAAGCCTTGGCCACAAAACAAACCAATTTTGACAAAGCCCAACAACCTATCCTAAAGCCGATGTATCAGGCACCGGCTATTTCTTGTTCATTTTTTGCCTCTTTCAGGAGAAGCGAGATCGGGGCTTACCGCTGTTTGACCTTGACGCCACCATGCAGCAGATACTGCAGAAGGCGACCGACATCCGGCCAACCTCAGTCTCGGACCTCTTACTCACCCAGAGTCCGCTGCGACACCTCAGCCCGTCCAAAGTATCGTCCAGCCGCGACAGCGGCGATTACCGCATTCTGGATCGCTTCCAGGTAGTTTAAGAAATACTCAAACACGCAACTAAAGTTATTAGAACATTGTAACTGTTCCATGAATTTATTAATAGTATGACAGATTGGTGATGGAATTGTTAATTTGATGATAAAAGCATGGAATTTAGCACAAAGTCACTGTATCTCATGAGAAAGATATTTGGCTAAGGGCCATCGCAGATTTGTTCTTTGAAAAAAATATAGGCAGAATAACAAGCAAAGGCAGCCATTTTGAAAGTTTGCAAATCGCTTGTTATTCTACCTATATTTTTTCCAATCTGCGATGGCCCTGTAGCTAAAAAGTTTCTGTAGGGCATGTTTTAACTGTGTGTTAACGTTCATGCTTTTATCATCAAATGAGCAATTCTATCATATTTTGCACCAATCTGCCTGACAAAAACCATAGAGTGCGTGACTGATTTGGGGTAGTACAGGGAGTAACAGGCAGGGTGGTTTGGGGCAGTACAGGGAGTAACAGGCAGGGTGGTTTGGGCGTTACAGGGACTAATGTCATATATTCCTTTGGTGTGTAAAACATTGTTTGCCACATTACAGCCGTCAACTATTGTGAAATATGACTTTCTTCATTCGTCTTTCTTTGGACTCGTATGCAGATGCCTAATACAGCCGTGAGAGCTCAACAGCGCCACCACACCTCCTTCAGAGCTCGACTAGTCGGTTGTGACGAAGCGGCCATGATGCAGAGTATCATATCTCCATACACGTCCAGGTAGTGCATCCGTCTTTACATCAACAACTTCTCTGGGTTTTTCAATTCTAAAATCTCAATACCGGATCCCACAAAAGCAAATTTAGAAATCATCAAATTTATATGATCTCAAAGATAAAAAGGGGTTTTTAAATCCAAAGTTTAAGTGTTAGTTCACAAGATTTGCGTCAATACGAAAGTGTGATTTTTTTGCAAAAGGCACTCAACATTTGGAAATTGTTGAAAAGTTGAAATGGCATCTTGACATTTAGGATTAAAGAACCTTCTGCAATTTTTTTATGAAATATATTTTAATCTTTATATAATTGGCGCTGCAAATACTGTAAACAGTTTACAACGGATGATGTATTTGAAGCACCATTATAAGAATTTCAAACGGAACTAAATTTACCTTTAGCTGAAATAAACAACGTCGGTGGTCGAGTGGTTAAGAGTAGTAAGCAGGAGGTCGTGGGTTCGAGTCCCATCCACATGAACAAGTGAAATTTTCAAATTTTCAAAGTTCTAGGATAGCACAGTGTTAATTTAAAAGAATATATCAGAATATGAAATCTGAGATGGGCAAAACTCAATAATATTAAAACTTGTACTGTACCATGGTTACCCTGCAGAGTGCTGAAGCCTTTCATTAGACGTGACTACGAGTCGCGTCCCGCCAAACTGAGATTGATGGAGGAGATTATACAGCATCGCAAGCAGCAGGACCCTGCCTTCATCCCCCAGCCCCTGGCCCCCATCGACTACTGCTACCTCCGACCCCAACATATCCCATCAGTCAACAATCTGTGCAGAGAGTTTTTCTGGCCCGGAATAGACCGTAAGTCTCCAGCAGTGTGGGAGTCAAGTCCATCACCAGTACAGTTTAAAAGTAAATCATAAGCCCAATCACAAGTCTGGCCACAAGCAACAGTTACTGAACAGTTTCAAAGGACTGCCTTTGGACAGCTCATTTGAATAGCTTGTGACTTTACTTGAGAATGGAGGACTTGTCATGGACTCGACTACAACACTGGTCCAGAGATGTGTGAACGCAAGTTTTACAGCGCGTCCCAAAATACCCGCAACATTTTTTTGTGAGGCTCTAGCGTCGCCGCAGAAACATGTACAGTGGAACACCGCTATAACGAACATCGCAAGATCCACAGAAAATGTTCATAATAGCGATCGTTCGGTATAGCGATTTTAAGCTGCCGGTGCTCCGGTACTCATTTTTCAATAAATGGCGCCCTTCAGAACTTCACCCTGCACGCCCTGGTAGTTACTGAAAGACGACTTCGAACACGTGCCGACTACTGAATTATGTAATAACACAGTTTTGAGCTTACTACCTATATCAGTGGGTGGCTTTCCCCTTCTATGCCTTGGGGAAATAATAGCCACTTGTTGCTCTTCTGTTGACGGTTTTCAACAACAATCTTCGGTTGGTTTTGTACACAAAAATGGGGAGCCAAGGACGATGTTCGGTACAGCCGATTGTTCGGTATTGCGGTGTTCGGTATAGCGACGTTCCACTGTACCACCATTATTTTTATATCATTTTAAAGCTTGGAATCTTAACTTTATCCCTGATAAGTATTGGTTTGATTTTTAAAAGGGTTTTCAAATTAAGGCACGTCAAAAACAAACTCAACTGATTTTAAGGAAAATCAATCATTAGCATTTTGTTCTAATGTGGAAATGGTTCATCATGTTCATGATGTGATGATCTCGTTGCCTTTTACTTTCTGTGTTTCCTTTTCTTTTTGATCCACGTAGACTAATCAACTCACAATAGTGTTCTTCGTTACAAGTTCAATGTGTTTGTAATATAAATCAACTTTTTAAAAATTTATTTCAATAGCTTGTTGACTCCAGTTTGCATCTGATGTACCGCATCATCGATTTTCCTTGAAATCGGCTGAGTTTCTTTTTTGACATGCCTTTATTTGAACACGAATAATTTTAAACCTCTTTTAAATATCAAACCAATACTAGCCAGGGATAAAGTAAAAATTTGAAGCTTTAAAATGGTATAAAAAATAATGGCTGTACGTGTTCTCACGCTGATGCTAGCGCCTTGCAAAAAAAAGCTGCGGGTATTTTGGGACGCGCTGTAGTAACCAACTGTGCAGCTGAAGTTGTGTTGATCGCAGCACATCAATGTTTTATTTAGTCCAGTAATTTTAATTTGTTTCAAGTACCCCTTGATAAGGGTGGGTGAAAGACCATGAATCCCCCCCCCACCCCCACTTCCACAATTTGAGAAACCACAGTTTTCAAAACCCTGATTGTGTCTATAGTTTCTCCAGTGAGCAGCACCACCAAGTGTCCACTAATTACGCCCCTCACGCCCTCCCCCCATACTTTCAGAGACGTCCAACTGTTGCTGATAACAGCTTTCAGATACCAAGAAAAGCTTTGCAGCGTGGCGCATCTCATGAACATGTCTATTTCAAATGTTTCTCTGACAGTGTCCGAGTGTCTGCAGTACCCAGACTTCAGCGTGGTGGTCCTGTATCGCAAGGTAGTCATTGGCTTTGGATTCATGGTACCAGACGTCAAGTTTAACGAGGCCTACATCTCCTTCCTCTTCGTGCACCCCGAGTGGAGGGGGGTCGGCATAGGGACGTTCATGGTGTACCATCTCATACAGGTTGGTGATGTAAATGTGTGAATGACTTAGACCTACCCCACCACCACCCTCACCCCACCCAGCACCCCATACCATCCCCCCTGAGTGGGGGGGGGGGGGGTCGGCATAGGGACGTTCATGGTGTACCATCTCATACAGGTTGGTGATGAGTGCATGAATTGAACCTATTCCCGCCCTACCCTCACCCCACCCAGCACCCCATACCATCCCCCCTGAGTGGGGGGGGGGGTCGGCATAGGGACGTTCATGGTGTACCGTCTCATACAGGTTGGTGATGTGTGCATGAATTGAACCTATTCCCGCCCCTACCCTTACCCACCCAGCACCCCATACCATCCCCCCTGAGTGGAGGGGGGTCGGCATAGGGACCTTCATGGTGTACCATCTCATACAGGTTGGTGATGTGTGCTTGAATTGAACCTATGCCCGCCCCTACCCTTACCCACCCAGCACCCCACACCATCCCCCCTGAGTAGAGGGGGTCGGCATAGGGACGTTTATGGTGTACCATCTCATACAGGTTGGTGATGTGTGCTTGAATTGAACCTATTCCCGCCCCTACCCTCACCCCACCCAGCACCCATACCATCCCCCCTGAGTGGAGGGGGTCAGCAAAGGGACGTTCATGGTGTACCATCTCATACAGGTTGGTGATGTAAAATTTGTGAATGACTTACACCTACCCCACCACCACCCTCATCCCAGCCACCACCCCACACCATCCCCCAACCAAATACCCCTTCCCACCTTGCAAACAAGTTTTCCACCACTTCATGGGCTCTGCATGGGCACTTTTATGGGCTGAAATACCCCCTCAATGGTAAGAAAGGGAGAGTTGGGGGAGACCACTGGGAGAGACATTCGAACGCATCACCGATGACGCCTGATGCTCACGCAAAAACAATGTGGCTTTGTACACTTTTAGAATAAAATTTGTCATGCCTACTTTGCGCTATACACGTGCAAACCAGTACATGCCCAGCTAGGGTTCCTTATGGGGTAGAAAGCACAATAGAACAATAGACCCCATAAGGAAATCTTTCAAAAAATCAATCTACCCCATAAGGGGAACGCTATAGAGTTTGAGATTTCAGTCTTCCCCAAAAGCATATGTAAGTGTGTTCATCTATTCAAACCGTGGACGAAAAATACCAGAGAACAAAAGAGAACAATATCGTCCATGATTCCCAGCATACGTCCGTGATTGGGGTCGTGTACAAAACCTATGGGAGTCTTCCAAAAAAGTTTAAGTACAAACAAAAGAGGGACAATAGGACGTCTAGGATCGACGGTGTGAACACGACTGCGTGTGTAAGACTATGTGTCAAAATGGGCCCTTTCTGTTTGTCCGCCTCTTTTACGGGTCTTATTTGGGAATCCTTGCCCACTACCAAGCCCTGCAAACTTAAAGGAAGACACGACCATAGTTGGGACCCCATTCAAATTGCTTTCTCAGTATGAGCCCTGCGCACATCATGTACCCCCTCTAGTGGTTACAAAGAGAGAGTCAGAAAAGGTGTGAACGCAAAGACTCTGAAGGCTTACGCATATTCGTATGAAAATTGGCTGCAGAGCTCCCATGCAGTGTGTCCAGCAAATAGAGCTCTTTCTGAGTGCTCTCAAAGCGCCATCTAAGTGCATGCACAGACCATTTACAAAATAAACAAACAGGACTACATACACAAGTTTACATAACCCCCATATTCCACATGAAATGTGTTCAAAAAACAAAAGTACAGACAGTCATTACTCACAGTTTATTTGTGTGGTTTGCAAAAAGTCATTGAACTCCGACAAAGTTACTAGTAAAAAAAAACCTCATTAAAACAGACTTCAGGCTGAAATTTGACATCCTCTTATCAAGTGAAAGATAGTTTTCAGGTTGGGGAAAAAACTCTGATACCACATTCTAGGTTTCGTAACACCTAAAACAAAGGCCCAGCTGACGTCTCTAAAAATATATTGCCAAGTTTTAATGATGTTGGCCCAATTCCATCGCGATTGGCCAGCATGCTTCAGCTGTGCTTTGTGTTCAAGTTAAAACATGACAGTACAAAGCTGACTTTCTCTTTTTTTGGCATGTTTCCAGAGAAACATTTTATTTAAGTATCAGAACAAGAATCATGTTAGATATGCTTGGAATTTGTCTGGGTATCTGTCTAGGAGTTGTGCCAAAAATGTCGAGACTGAAATTTGAGATAACAGTCGGTCACGTCGAGACAATGTTGTCTGAACTTATGCTTGTTGGTAACCAACAGGCAGAACTTCCATTTGGATTCATGTTTATTTTCACAGTGTATTGTCGATATTTAGAAAAACCACCTCTTTTTGAAAGTTCAGAAGAGTGGTTTGCTTTTTTCCCCCGGTCAAAGTCAGCTTCATGTGCGTAATTTTGGAATTTCTTCATGCTTTATTTGTTACGACTTAAAATTGCTCTCGTTGTGCTCTTATTTTTTTAGTTTTGCCCCTGACTAATATATTTTGTTTTTACATTGCTATTTTTGTAGCAATACAAATGTTTGTCACTTTTTAAATGAGATATAGAACCAAAAATTCTGTCCCGTTTAGTTAAACAAATTTTTAATTATTTGTAGTCAAACAGTAAGTCAGGCATATTTCTTGTAGTGCAGTGTGCATAAAAACAAACCCACATTAAAACCTACTAAAGTGAGGAAAAAAACCTGTAACGTTTAAATAATACATAACAAATTGAAGTTTGTTTGAAAAAAAAAAGTATACTGAAGAGCACGGTTAGAGCAATTTAAAGGTATTTCTTTGCTCTTCCGGATCTTATAAAACATCCAAGGGAGAAGTTAAATCATGCCAAGGAAACTGAGCCTAGCAAAATCAAATCAAAACAGACTTCTAGGCTGTCTGACAATAAAACCAGGCATTTCTTAAAAAGGGCACAAGCATTGTAGGTCCGAAGCCCAAAGACACCGCGATGTACAACCCACAGAATCAGGTAGAGACTGGAGTGCTGTGGCCTCGTGGTTAAGGGCACTGGATTCGTGGTCTGTGGGTAAAGCTGCGGGTTGTGGGTTCGAGTCCAGCCAGGGTCATGGTGCGTGTGCCCTTGGGCAAGGCACTTTGTCACTCATTGCTTCTCCCCACCCAGGAGTAAATGGGTACCCGTGAGGGCAGAGATGGTTATTGTGATTGAATAAGCGTGCTTGCGCCTAACAGGCAGCATCGAGCTGTATGCTCCCCAGGGAGCTGAGATGGTATTTGGAATGTTTAATTGGCCCGATGATCAGGGGTAATGATAATACTGTAAGCACTGTGATTTAGTTTACTAATAAGAGTGTGCTTAAATGCCGATTATTATTATTATTATTAAAACCCATCCACAAGTCATCCCAGGCGGGATTCGAACCTGGGTCACAGAGGTGGAAGTCGAGGTGAATACCACAGCGCCAGTCCAACTCCTTTTGCATTTATTTGTTTTGTTGGTTTGGTTTTTAATTTTTTCAGACCTGCATGGGGAAAGACGTCACTCTACACGTCTCGGCCACCAACTCGGCCATGCTGCTCTACCAGAAGTTTGGCTTCAAGCCCGAAGAGTTCATTCTGGACTTCTACGAGAAGTACTATCCGCAGGACAGTAGGGAGTGCAGGCACGCATTCCTTCTAAGATTGAGGCGGTGATGATGATGATGATGATGATGATGATGATGATGATGACTCCCATTTGTTTTCTAAGAACAGCTTTTACCCTGACCCTTGCAGATCTTTATTTTTTGTTGGGTGCTGTGGTCTAATGATTACAGTGTTTGACTCGTGTGCCATGGTGCATGGGTTCACCGTGGGAACACGGTGCTTGTGCTCTTGAGCAAGGCACTTTACCATCATTGCTTCGTCCTTCGGATGGGACGTAGCAGTAGGTCCCGTGTGTTGTGCAATGCACGTAAAAGAACCCAGTAACACTTATCGCTATTAAAGAGAAGTGGTTTGCCCCTGTGTTTCTGGCAGTGGCAGCACCTTGTAAACCATTATAAGGTGCTACATATAACGGGTCTCATATTTCTCAGAAACTTTATTTACCTTTCTTTAATAATAGACATAATGTCCAGCGCCTTGAGTACCTAATTGTTGGTAGATACGTGTGCGCTACAGTATTATTATTAAACTCCACTACGAGTTTGGGGGAATTTTGCGGGATTGAGATTTACGTTAATTCATGTGAAAATAAAAGCCCATTGAAAGGTTAGAGTGCAAACAATGTGACGTTGGATTCCTGAGTAGTGGAGGATTATGGAGGATCAAGGAAGCTTAGGTTCCTTGCAAAAATGTCTTGGGTTATGGGAGCAGGTGGGGTCTTAGATTCTGGAGCTTCAGTGATGAAGATTGGTGTGCTGGTGATAGGCCCGCCGCATCCTGGCCCTATGCCAGATAAATTCATTTTGGATTTTAACAGGTGTGTGAGATGTATGGGTACTGTACCAGGAAGACACACTGGCATTTTTGTTTTGAGAAAGAGGCGATTGTACTATCCTGGACTTCAGTGATGAAGCTGGGCATGCTGGGTGATATTTGGCGGACTGTCTTGGCTTTGTGCCAGAATGTGTTTAATTTTAGACTTGTTTCAGGTCTGCAAGAAGTACCGGTACTGTCTAAAGGACCACCACCTCTTTTTTTTTGGGGGGGGGGGGATGGGGTTGATTGTTTTAATGCAAACATGCATTCTGTGCCAAGTTGTCCTTGCAGTCAAAATCAATCAAGCGACTGTTTTCAACAGTTAAGTCTTAAGAATTCCCAGCCCACATAAAGCAGGATTGACTGGCTGGGACTGTTTAAGTAACTTGATATGGGTGAGTGATAAAACAGCTGTATCCACAACTTGCCTGCTTTGTCTGTTGACCCAGTTTGACTAGACACAGTGCTGGCTTCACATATGATATGACTGCTGGTGACTAGCCTTTGTTAAAAGTACCATAGCAGGGGAAGTGGAAGTGAATTTAAAAATAAAATTGATGTGTAAAATATGTCCCTCGAAATTCTAATAAAATGAAATCGTGAGCCACACTCACAATTTGTAATTAGTCCTTTTGCGGGTCCACCATATATGTTGAACTAAAGAAAGAAGCAAATTAAATCTTGAAAACGATAGTGTTTTCTGAAGTCTTGACTTTTGATTATGGGTAGGAATTCGAGTATCTGGACAAAAAAAGAATGGTGGAAATGTCAAAATGTAATGCAAAAGTAATTTTGCAAGTATCACAGAGAGAATATGGTTTTTTTAATTACACATCACTGTGGTTTATCTGATATATGACAAAAAATATGACAAAAAATCACCATGAGAATCTTAAGAGCCATTGTGCAAGTCCAATCGTTTCTTCTGACAATCATGTCAAAGTACGTCCGTAAAAACGTCCTGTGCATCAGAATCAATTATGACTAAATTATGGAGTTCTACCATATGTCTTGGTTCATTTCATTAATGATATGTTTTCTTTTTTTTATTGGGGGTTGGGTGGGGAGGGCTGTAGCATTACCGGGGGGGGGGGGGGGGGGGGGGGGGGTTGGAACTGGGGGTCATGTTCCAGTATGCCGAGGCCTCATGGTCTGGGGCATTGAATTCATGGTCTGCAGGTAATTCTGCAGGTTGTGGGTTCGAGTCCAGCCTGTGGCTATGGTGCGTGTGCCCTTGGGCAAGGCACTTTGTCACTCATTGCTCCTCTCCACCCAGGAGTAAATGGGTATCTGCGAGGGCAGCAATGGTTTTTGTGATTGATTCTAGCTTCATTGCGCCTAGCAGGCAGCATCGAGCTGTATACTCCCCAGGGAGCTGAGATGGTATTTGGAATATCTAATTGGCCCAATGATCAAGGGTAATAATGTAAAGCCTAATCTTAGTTAAAAACGCTATATAAGAACCAGTTATTTTTATTATTAGTGTAACCAAACTTGATTCTAATACCCTTTATCCTAGGGATTTATGAAAACTGAATAAAATAATGAAAAAGAGTGCCCTCTAACGTCAAGAGGTCTCCCCCCCCCCCCCTCTCCCGGCCCCCCACCCACTGAAAAAAATTCTGGCTGCGCCACTGGCGAAGAGAGGAACTAAACCTCTAAACTTCCCTGATTCTCTCATTTGACATTCAAGCCATGCCAACTCTTTTTTTGTTAACTGTTCACAAAATGCTAGGCAGGCAAATCACATTAGGCCTCACTTCCCGTCTTTAATTATTGCTGGTTGCTGCCAGTTCTGAGAACTTTGAACAAATAAAACCACTTTTTTAAGAAATGGGCATTTACAGCATTGGGTAAAACATATTTGAATATCTAAGCTTGGATTTGTAGTTAAACCACAAATGGTCACTTCCGACCATTTTTTCGTAGTGTTTGCGATTTCAAATATTTAAAAAAATGATAAAAAGCAATATATTTTTTTGAAAACCAAAAAGACAAAAACAAATCTAAATCATCCTTTACACAATTTCTTACTGTACAAGCATGACAAGCAACATATACATACAAAATGCAAATTCATAAATGCAAGCAATTGCCTAAATTATTGGAGACCTATGTTAGCCATAGGGTATTTTTTTATATTCCTCTGATTTTGTTTTACGAATCGGGTGCCTGTTATCAACTTTACAAAGAACTTGGTACTTCACAAACAATGAAAAAAAGAAAGGTTTTGAATGTCATTTGTAAGGAAGTTTCAAAAATGAAACCAGGCTATAAAACAAAACAGATGTCATGTTTATGACGTTCATGAAAGATGCAGTTAATTCACCATAAAGCTACAAAGCTCACTGCACACACATGAATTGTTGCACTGATGCGCCGATGTGGTAGTATTATCGTGCAAAACTTTATGAATAATCTGTAGAGCAACTTTGGGGATTTGAATTTTGGGTTTTTTTTTTTTTTAACAGGTACCCGTTTTTTTTTCAATCTGGTACCTGGTTCCAGTACTACCCGTTAATGCGCACCCTTAAATAGGCTACAGTTCATCAAAGCTACATATACATTGTACATGTGCATACGTACTGTGTACAACTTGAAGTTGAAGGCCAGACATGCACGCAAGTGTGCCAGGGTTGGACCATATTTATGATAAAACCAGCCATACATGTACAAATATCTGATGCCAATAACTCGCCCTTGATAAAAAATGGTCTATTTAAGTAAGCAAATTGATTTCAATCAGTCAATGCCGTTTGAGATATGAATGTGAGTTCTTGAAATACTATGCCATTTAACCAGTTCAAGTCGGATGACTTGTATACATGTACAAATGTACACGCAAAGGTTTTGCAGTATTCAGAACGGATGAAGTATAAATACACAACGCGCGAGGCCGGAAATATCTGTCTGCCACCCTCTCGCAGCGAGCAAGGCCGAAAGCTTCAGGTGTGCTTCCATCGAGGTTCGTGAAAACAATCCCGAGCCTGGGTCGGGTCAATGTCAAAATAATCCCGGCGCGAACTGTTAAATCTATCTTAATTTGGTTTAAAATAAATTTCATTGAATTATTGTTTTTTCGTGAATTCATTGGCTTCGCACTCATGGCCAACCTCTCATTGAAGAGATTTGTTTTCCACAAGTTAAGTAGAATAACCAATCAAGAGGTCTAGAATAAAACAACTTTGGAAGACATTTAAGACTCCTCAAAAATGAAACAGTGGGACTTGATGCTCCTTTGAACATACTCCAAAGAAAATTTGACTTTTGATCGTTTTTTAAAATATTCCTCTTCCGTAGAGCCAGAACTTTCATCTCCATCATTGGCTTCGTCGTCGTTTCTGTACGAAATGTCATAATGTGTGAAAGGCACAAAGTTGGCAGGTTTCCCCTTGCTTGGGTGCCTTTTACGTTCACTGTCAAATTTGTGTCGTTTGTGCTTTTTGTGTTTCTTGTGCCGGCTGCGGCTGGACTTGACCGACACAAAATCGTTGCTGCTGGAGGACTTTTCGCGATCGTCTGCGGTGTTTCTGCGACTGATAACCATTGTTAAGTGGAGGCCGGAGCTATGCGCATCCTCGGATGGCCGTCTGATCTTGTATCCCTCACTGCCATCTCTGCTGTCACTGGATTTATGTTTTCTAGAAAGCGTCGTCTTGTAATGATGATGCTCGTGGCTGAGCTGTCTCGTGCTGTACTCGGCCCATTCACTTGAGTCAGAATCAGTGGCACGTTTAGTCTTGACCTCCCAGTTACCTCCTGGTTGTCCGCTCTGCTGGGCATCATGGCCAGAACCATCCTCTTCTGTCCTTTGTCTCTTATTGTCTCTGTGAGTATCCATGAGGTAGGTCTGGTCGCTTCTCTGCCTCGAGCTACTCCTAGAGTGGGACTGGACGGAATAGGTCAAACTAGATGATGCCGTCTTGTTGCCGTCCCTTGAGTAATCGTCCATTGTAACACTGCTGTCTTTGTTACTGCTTCTCCAGGTGTGGTGAGATGAGGAGCTAGATTTGGATCTAGACCTCGAATGTGGCCTTTTGTGATGCTTTTGTGAAGTGTGCGCCCCTTCTTTTGGCTGGTGTGGAGCCTCTTCGTGTTCTCTTTTGGCACTCTTGGAGTGCTTGTGGTGTCTGGAATCTTTGTGCTTCTTCTTGTGTGAATGTCTGTAGGATTTTCCGGCATGGCTGTGCTCGCCAGTCTTACTGGAGTGCTGAGTCAAGTTTTGTTGCTTCTCCTTGTGGTGGGAATCTTCCGTGGTGTGCTTTCTCTTCTTGTGTCGTTTACCGCCTTTTTTCTCTCGTCTTGAATCTGTCCTGTCCTGATCTTCCTCCGTGCTGGATGACAACAGCATGATGCACTCTGGAGTTCTTTCTTCGTAGGGTTTGACGACCCCTACTATCTCAACATCACTGTCGTCGTCACTGATAACGTTCTCCTGATCAGTCCTGCACTCTGTTTTGACTTGGGTAAGTTGATTGGAGGAGATACCTGATGGACCGGCCTGGTCAGGATCAAACTGGTGAGAGGGGGGCGGCTCTGGATTGTGAGTGCCGGATAGGTCAAGAGCTTCTACCTGCTCACCATGAGCTTGGGAGGAGCTTGAGGAGGCACTGTCTGATCTCAGAAGGCTTCTCAACGTGGGAATTTCAATGACCTCGTCATCTGAAGACAAGGTGATGACATCGTTGTAGTCAGTACTGCTTTGGAACGGGGGGATTGGCTGAGAGGGCTCCTGCTGTGGCAGCGGCTGTAACTCGCGCACGGCTGCTAAATCATACTGCGCTATCTGATCATAGGTGTTCATGTCGTAGGGGGAACGGGCAAAGCTGACAAACTCGTGGATGAAATGCTCCGTCTGGCCGTACAAGAATGGGCGCAGGTGTTCGTGGAACTCCTCCGTCTGCATGTGGACGTTGGGAATCAGCGACAGGATGTACTGGGTCATGAACGTCACGTGGTCCTCGCCCGTGAACAGGATACCGAGCTCCCGACGCAGCCAGGGCACCAGTCGGTGGGTGGTGGCAGGATTCTCGCTGAAGAACTCCGGGGAAATGTCCCGGAAGCGGGTGAAGCGGTTGGAGCCCATGTGTCTCACCCAGAGGCCAGCTCGGTAGATCATGCGCCGGCGTTCAACGGCAGCGGCTTCGAGGTGGACCTGTTGGTATAAAGAATGGAAATTGTACGTTTAATTTGCAAAACACTTACTTGTGTAATTTTCTTGGCCCAAAGATGCACACTTATCTTGGTCTAGCAGCATAATGAAAATATTAAACAGGAGAATTTGTATACGTGTACAATGTTCGTGGTTGACACAATACGTAGTTTCTGATCATTGCAAAAATGTATTTGAAATATAGTCCTGGGATGGGATCACCATTTCTAATGTTCCAATTAACTTTTGGGAAATTTATCAACAGATCTTGACTATTTGTCAAATCTTTACCTGGTGGGCACGCCGATAGCGTCTCTCAAGCGCCCGATTTCGCCTCCAGGTCAACTGCACCCTGTGTTCTTCCGTCAGCGTGGTGGAATAACGGAACCGTCTCCCTTGGCCATCTGTCCCAAACGACCCAGTGTCTGTCGGCTTGAGGTGGTACTGATCGTAGACGTCGTTGGACACCACGTTGTGTATGATAGACTTGAATGTTGTCTTGCACAGCGGGCAGGTGGGTCTGACTTTCGACCACTCCAACAGACAGACGAAACAGAAGGTGTGGAAGCAGGCGTCGGTGAAGGCCTTGTTGTTGACTTTGCCCAGGCAGATGGGGCAGTTACCGTCTGGGGAGTTGCTCCGTGAGGATGAGCCCCCTTCTGCATCTGCATTCGATGGCAACAGATGCTCGGGGGTAACAGGCGGGCTTGCCATCTTGGACTGCATTTATTGTGTTGGGCTCAGCATTTCCAGCTAAACATCTCAGATCTGCAGAAATAATCAATGAGGTTCTTTGCTTAACTCAACTGGTATTTTGTTTTACATGGCCTAACTGCCCGCTATTAATTACTATCATGACCTTGTCTTATAAAGGGGTCCTTTACATAATTTACATATAACTACAATTACCTCTTTTATTCATTTTTACGAAAGTTGTAGCTATTGTGATGGCCATGATGGCTCATTTGGAACATTGTCAGTGAAAATGGAAAACCCATCCACCATCTTGAAAAATTCAAATTTCGGGTTTTATTTTTTGTTTTGTGTTGTTTTGTTTTGTATAGTTTTTTGTTTGTTTGGTTTTTATTGTTTGTTTGTTTGGTTTTTTTTTTGGGGGGGGGGTGGAAGTGCGACCCTCTTCCTTTGGTAAAAAAAACCCTGGACAAACATAACGAGCGAGATACTACTACTTTACTTCTTTAATTAAACTTAGGCTACCCCTAACACAGTTAGTCATCTAGTGTCTGTAGACGTGACAGTGATCAGTGATACACAGAATCAACAATTTTATTTCCTTTTTCATGTTTTGTATTCTCAATTATTCCTATTCCTAAGGCTAATGACATGAATGATTAAGTCATTTTTTAATAACTTCTTGTTTTGAACAAAAAAAACAAGAGTAGGACGAGTACGAGTTTGGCATGACTGGCGGGTAGGAGCCTACTGTTGAGTTCACTTAATACGGATAGACTTGGGAACGAGTTGGCTTGGACTTGATAGCCCTACCGGCCTATACCGCTTACGTTGATCGGGGACGAGTCGACTCAGGACGGGCAAAATACGACGGGTCTAAATCAGTAAATGTAACGAGTATAACTCGACACTTACGCAAGTTACGGTGAGGAAAGTTATACAGCTGGCGTGTTAAAAGATGCAGCTTTGTCGTCAAAAGATCCTACACGAGTAAGACACTTTCACTGTTGTAATAATTAAGTAACTACATCGTGAAAACTCTGAATAAAATGCTTCCGCAGTCGTCATTAATTGTGTAATCGACTTTTTCACTGAAAAGGCTGGTCTGGTGCCTGTACCGCCCGCCGATCATTTACGTGTGTCAGACAAACAGGCCATTGTGAAACAGACGAACATCCTTCGTGAATTCTAAGACTCTCTCTGATTGGTGAGAAATTCCCAGCAATGCCCACAGCAGCGAATCAGAAATGCCTGTGTATGTGTAAGTCTGATCTCGGTGTTTGATGTCACACAGGTTTGTTTATGCACGAAGATGATGCGGCAGAATTGAAATGTTTGCTGAATGAAATATTATTGAAATAATGTAGCAGCAGGACTACACTAGGAGCTAGCTTTTGCATTCGGCTGTTTGGTTGTACTACGAGCATTCAAGAATACGACTGTTCGGGATAAATCATGATTCACTTCAGTAAACAGAGTCAAGATATCATTGTTTCTTTGGTGAGTTTTGTTTAGATTAGGCATTATCTTTTTCATTTTGTCATAACTATATACACAAACCATTGAACTTTTGGAAGAAGGCCCAAAAGTAAACTGAATTATATTTTATACATGTACTAAGAATAATCGTTTTGAAAAGAATGTTGCATTCGGACACTGCTTTTTTTCTTCATATATCATCAATGAAAGTCAGTCATTGCAAAAATGATGACATTGATTGACAAGACATGAATCTGGGACTGAGAAACATTTCAAAAATTGTTTTGACTCTCCATAGTCTTTGTACACAACTGCTGCAAATGGTGTCATGTTGCAACATTCTTTCCATACGCATACCTTCTTGTTGGTAGAATAACATTCCTGGTAGAATTGGACTTTTTTGGAGATCAGTGTTTGTTTGACAATTACCGATTACTTGTTAAATACGTTTACATGTATTTTTACATTTGTTTACCCAGGTTTATCAAATAATTAAGTATCATGACCATATATCATGTCATCTTCAGTGTTGATTGCTGTTCTTAAATTATATCTATTTTTGTTGGTTGTATCCCATTTTGCATATTTTTTTGTTTTGGAAATTTGTATTGGCTAACGTTATTTTTGTGTATCTTAAACATCATTTTTTTGTTGTAATCCTTATTTTCATCTTCACCTAGGTTCTTGCAATTGTCGTTTTGGCAGTGTGGGCCCATGTCATCATCGCTGGAAGGACCGCAGCCCTACGGGTGTACCCAGAGCTTGGTCAACCACCTGCCTGAACAAAGACTCCTTGCACTAGTACCCCCTCAATGGTGAAAATGAGCCCGAGTACCGGCTTTTGAAGGACCATTGGGCACCATACCGGTGTGTTTTGCTTGTTTAAACAATGGACAGTGTGTGTGGGAACCAGCGAAGTGTCCTTCACAAGCTCTCCTTGCTGGAATCAACAGCGCCCTCTGTTGTACATGCACCGAGTCCTCAGGTGTGTGTTTGACACATGAAGACAGCAATGAATTCAACCCATCGGTTCATCAAAACCAACAAAGTGTCCTTCACAGGCTCTCCTTGCTGGACTCAACAGCGCCCTCTGTTGTACATGCACTGAGTCCTCAGGTGTGTGTTTGACACATGAAGACAGCAATGAATTCAGCCCATCGGTCCGTCAAAACCAGCAATTGTCCTTCCTTGCTAGGTTCAACAGCGCCCTCGTTTGCTGATTCACAGTAATGCTTGACACTTGATGACAGCCATGATTTCAGCCAACAGTTCCATCTGTGATTTGCTCTTCGGGGAAGTGTTCATCAAAAGAATGACTCACTTCATCATTAATCAGTCAATATCTGAGTGACTGTTGCTGATGAAATTTAGTATGTGCAAGATGATTAGAACATGTACATGTATGTGCAAGATTGAGTTTTGCCCGTCACATATGTAGTTTCATGAGCACTATAAACAGTGCTGTTGGAGAGCTTGCGTAGAATTCCCAAGGTTGCAAGGGTGGGATTTGAACCTATGACGAAATCATGTACATTTTGTCCACTGGGCCCTTGAAGATTTTTGAGTGTTATTTATGTTTAAAAATCCAATTAATGTGTTTCTTTGGAAATGTGTGTTTTGTAGCTGATGCTTCATGAAGAATAAAAAAGAAATTTGCAATGAACACATTTATGAATTGGTATTCCAGCATTACATTTTGTGTAAATTAATCATGTATGTATCTCTCTAAGATGCACTAGTTGAGAAATATGTGGTGTGCCTGCATTTGCATTCCAAAGAACAGTTTTTCTGTTGGAGTGTAAAATTATATCAATGCTACATACAGTATTCTTTGTGTAGTACATGGAAGGCTTATATTGTATATAAGTGTGTAAATATTAAAGGCAGAATTTGAATTCATGCATCTATGTGCATACATGTACAATGTATGTGATGGACGTAAAAAACGAATGACGACGATAAGTACATAATGTACATTCACGAGCACGCTTATAACGAACACGGTTAGGACGAGAACACGGTTGCCACGAGTATAATATTTCATCAGTCCCTAACACAACGTACGCATTTCTACTGGAGAAAATTGGCTTAATACGAGCTCAGCTGGGTTCGCATGAGTACGCGGATGCGATGTATGTTGGTCACGGGCGTCGCTTGAGTGGGTGTGGTGTGGGGGTCTGACCCCCCCCCCCTTTTTCTCATTTTGTTGGCACAATTGTGTCTTTGACGGCAAATATGCCGCGACGAAAAGTGCCACTTATGGCTTATAGTGCCTCCCCCCTTTCGCCCCACTTCTTGATTTGATTCGGTCGGCTGACCGAAAAAACCTGGGGTACCTTTCATCCAGCACACGTTATGGCCTGTCGGTAAAATGTTGTCACACCCCCTTTCAAATTGGTCTGTCCACGCCCCTGATCGTATTCAATACTTGTTTGTTTATCATTAATCAAAAATTCCTTGACAATACCAACAAACCACACGTGAACAATACTTGGGCCTCTTTACGATTTGTGGAAATTGTACGGGGATTTGACATTAGTGTACCGTTGAATATCTCATAGACTAGTGGTGTGTGAAATACCAATGACATAATGATTATTTTGGGTCATTCGTATGGTAGCCATTGTTGAGCAGTCAAGCATCCCAAATGTAATGGAGGAGAGTTTTCAATGAGTCTCCAAAAATATCGCAAAAGATCCGGTCTTTAATGAGCGGCTTTAGTAACGTTTGGCTGAACGCATACAAAAGATGACGTACGATTTACGTCAGTCCATTGAAATCTTGCCATTTGTTTATCGTTATTTTGTCAACCAATTCACCTTGTTATTTGACGTAAGCCATTTGTTTGTCCCATACAAAGTTTGTTTTGTTGTAATTACTCTTTACCATATAAGCTCAAACGCGTGATCCCAGATAGGGAGAAATATCGATCATAATTATAATGAACTATTCAGGACTATAGTATCGTGAACGGCAAAATAAACCGAGGTAAAGTGAACACTGACTGTCTTGGAAACAAAATCAAAATATTTGTATACCGCCCGAGGAAACGAATGAGCAGTTTCTTTTAACGCTCTCCGCACAAGAATAGTTCAGACAAAAACAACAATTCTCTTTGTTACCATGTCCAGACCAGACACATAAATTGACGTAAATATTTGTGGTATCCACGGCTGGAAATTTACGATAAATCAATGAGTTTCGTGGCACTGTCGGGTGCTTTGTCAAGTTCAATGTCGCTTACATAACTTGCACGTTCCTTTTTGTCACCTAGACGCTCGTCCGGTGTGTATTACGATCATGTGTTGATGGATACTTTTTCAGGTTTTTATTGGGTATGTTCCGTAGAAACTATTCGAACTATTTTGAAAGTTGTAAATTATTGGAGAGATGGAAACAATTATGGCCATTGTTTCGGGTTACTCGTTAATTATCAGGGTAAGACAAACAAACAAAAATCTGAAGAAACGCAGGCCCTTGTCAAAATGTATTTACACCCAAATTTCCTGTTGTCACGTGACGCCGACATGTATAAATGGTGAAAAGAAAGCGCTGATCGTTACAAATCCATGGATGGTTTGAAATGTCTCTTAGCTAGGCTTTCCCAATTTTGATACTTATTTTCCTGCTGGGAGTAGGCCTGTACTTTGACCTGCCAATATGAAAAGCGGGGTTAAATCACACAGTTACACAATAGTGTTTGTCATCTAGCTACTGTGTGACAGTATTTGTGCCTGGTTCAAGCTGGTACCGTCTCTGCTAGTCAATTAAACAAATACAAAGAAATAAATCTCTTTTTTTCGTACAAGGAATTCCAATATTCTTTTGTACAAGCCAGGGTCAGGGAACCGACAATATTCAGGCTTAAATTTAACCTTGGGAACTCACCAAGCACTTCAGATTATTTGTTCTACACTTTAAGTTCACATTTCAAACAGAAAAGACTGTTTTGTATGCACTTGGTGTTGCTTCGTGCGATACTCGTATTAAACTCGCACTCAATCCGTACGAATGCGTACGACGTCCTATACGCAATACGCCTTAGCTATATATACTCCTGCTGTCAACACGATTTTAATATGTGAACAATATGGTGGTAGTTCCAGATACTTTTACATAGACATCAGACATTAATCCGATCGGTAATGAAATTAAATTTTAGTGTCGACTATTTTGTTCAGTTCAAAGTTTCGGCACTGAGAAATGGCCATGTGAGACTCGCTCGCTGGTCAAGTAGTAACACGTCTGCACTAGTAATAATTATTAGGGAGGTCGTGGGTTCGAGTCCCACCCGATCAATTTTCTTCGCAAGTCCTCTTCCAGGGTATATACACATCACATTGGAGATTGGCGAAAACCTAACAATGAAAGAAATTCACGGACGATTTGGGTAAACCTTGTAAATAATTAATATAACATCCAAGCACATTGGTGTCTTAATTAGAGCCCCAAGAAAATGTACTTTCGCGACCCCTCAATTAATCAAATCTTTAGTAGCGTCCGCGACGTGCGTCGTTGACAACTGTACGAAACAAAGATGAGCATGGAGGCCAACATTAATGATCTTTTCATAGCTTTAATTACCCCTACTCAACTCAACGGTTCTGCTTGTCTTGTCACAAAGGGAGATGAATGGGTTTAGATGTTTAATATGGAATGATTGAAGCGATGTCCGTATACAGTGAGGTTTATTCAACGTCTTGAGATATTCGTCATGACTTCGAGTTGCAAAGTGGGTGCGTGAGTTCGAATGCGTTGCGTTCAAGCGAGACCGTACTACGTGACTCTTCAGCTGATTTCAAACGCACAAAATGTTTGAGCATTTATTAATTATTGTCTTCCTTTTGAATTGTTGGTTCTGTATGCGGTGTTTTTTTTCCTTTTTCGAGAGCGGGGAGCATTTTCTAATTTCAAGTGTTGTCTCAATCATGCGCACTGTGTGCCAATTGGACATTTTTTAAAGCTCCAGCAGGAGCTTCTGCAAGCCATTGGTGTCGGTCGGTTGCCGAAAAATTTACCAAAAATATTTTACAAAAATTGAGCAAATGCCATGCCGTCGTCAGTAAATGAACTCTAAAAATTGTTTGTAACAATTCGTAAAGTTGTTTATGGAAATTTTGTAAGAGGCGAGATATATGTGCAGTATTGTTATAGCCACGTGGTATCTTCTGTAGTGGTTGGACGGTATCCAGAAGGAGAAAATGACAATTGACGAAAAGTATGGTGTTCCATATTATGTGCCTTCGGCATCGCATTTTTTTCGCCAGAGCTTATTGTGCACTCGCACTGGTTTAAATCGGCCGAGTTATTCTAACGTAGATGAAACTGGAATATATTTTTGCAATTTTTTTACTAGTTTGTCTTAAGTATACATGTAGTATCTTAGTTGTTAAATATGGTATGTGTAATATTTGGACATATTACATGTGCTACCTGTACTATACAAGAGGACATTGACCTAGAATGTTACTACTTGACTGCTAAGGCATTGTCCATATGTAGTGTATCATGACCTACATAACCACGTCAATGTAGATTGGTGATCGTGACGATGTTCTGCTCTGCGGTGCGCGGTATTTTTGTTCGTGTGTGTCTCGGTCTTTCGGTTAGATTAAGGCGGGAAATGGTGATTTTTTCTTCCATGCATGTTCCCGGAACTCATTGATGTTCTGTGGTCGGTGGTTGTGTGAACCTCAACATATACATGCAGTCTGTTGCCTTGAACTGTCAAATTTAATGCTTTTTCCTTCAAATGGGATCCTTCGATGTATAGAAGTGATGGTGCTCGGGTTCAAGAAGGTCGGTTATCTATAATCGTGTCGGCAGTCGTGATTACCAATGGACCATCTTTGTGAGTCCCGAACATTCATTCTACCGCAAGTTCTTTGAAGTATTCCTAGGGGGTGACAGGGCGTTCACTGACTGGCGGCAAAGCACGCGTGAACCCTGACCAATCTGTGTGGTTGCTTCAAGCGCTCACGTACGGGGGAGAAAGCTGCCGTGGACTCTGTATTACCCCCCCCCCCCACCCCCACCCCCACCCACCCACCATCCCCAACAAGCGGCACTGTTCGACGTCGTTTTTGCATTTCCCAGAGGGGCCAGCCTATTCAGTCCTCTTTCTATACATGAAATAGGCCTACCCAACTCATTGGCTGACTGATGACTTGTGAATTAGACTTGCTTTATATCACTGACTGGTGTCACTTGTGAATTACACTGGTTATACGTATACCTCACGTCACCACTTGGCTTATTCTACGAACTTTTTAGCCACGCTAGACAAATTCAGTAGAACTTTTGTTATACTGGGATTTTACAATACATTTATCCTAACACCGTTGGATACTTGTACAAATGTTGTCATATATTTTGAACAAAGAAATTGACATAATAGCGGGTATTGAACCTGCGACATCCGGATTGCCGGCGCTCTGCCAAGCTATCCTGCCCTATGTCGGCGGTTCCCCATTTTCCCAATGTCTTTTGTTCAAGGTGCTCTTTAATCAGAAGCCATAAGCCTGCATTTTCTTTAATGCCATGTAGTCTCAGGAGGATAATCCCCAAAGTCACGGTGCTATCCTGCAAAACGGGGAATAGCAAGCGAAAATAACTTCTACTTTTTAAGCTCTGGCAGGAGCTTCTACATTTCACTAGGTGGTGTCGGT